AAAAACACAAAATTGCATGAAAGGCATGATATAAAAAACATAGAACAGAAATAATTTCTCTCTCGTATAGTTCTTGGCCATGATAATTTAGCAAGATATCCCCTACACAAACAATTTCGCATTTCGTTTCATTTTCAATTTTTCATCAGAAGAGCGTGTTAAGATTACTAAGTAGCACTTGAAAACAGATTCAGTGACATCGATAATTTTATTATCGGATACTTGACTTAGAGATCGATACTACAAACATTACTCTGCCAACACTCCCTTCATCCAGTCTTTAAGCCCAAACGAGGAATGTTAAAGAAGTTATTGAAGCGTGACATCAGCGTTAAATATCAACCTGTACAGCACATCTGTGCTGGGTGGTTAGACGGATCGATATTTTTTTCTGCTGCCCCTAATATTAACTGAGTCCCATAGTTGAATGGTTTCTGCATATACCATCTGTGAAGTGTTACAGTTATATGCATAATTAAAACGCTCTCTTTAATCTATTTGCATAATTCATTCAAAGATTTTAAATACTTTTTGAAATAGAGTTTTAATCAATCAAATGATAAATATACAGGTCTTTTCCAAACACAATTTGTTTCACAAATTTATAATAAATAACATCTATTTTTCTCAGAAAGATGTTATCTTTTTTTCTCACGTAGAATTAAAATAACTTTATATATATTATCATATGCTTTTATGTAAATATGTTTATTTGTAATACAAAATATCACCAAGTTGTTAAGTTGAAAAAAGCTACAGTAGCGATGGCAATAGCATATTTTGTATGCATTAATCTCTAGCGAAAAAACACTTTCGTCTAAAATGGCTGATTTGATCTTCCCCATTATTCATGCCAGCATTTAAAGACAATAAAACGGTGAAAGGTCACACTAAACTAAATCATGAAGATATAAATCGTGGAGGGCCAGGAAGCGGGTCCTGAATTAGTTACATTTGTCAACTTCACTTAGTTCTACTGTTGCTGGTCGGAGTAATACAGTCCGATTGTAACTAATGAAAAAATAATCTAGAGCTTTAACATAGCAAACAAAACAATATAAGGTAAACTGTTGAATTTACTTTCTGTAAAAACTAATTTTTTGTTTAAAAGTTTAATTTATATATTTGTGAGAAACTAACGATTTTTAAATGATAAGGATAGATCTTTTCGTTTATATAATTTCATGAAAAATCAATTAATGTATAGAAAGCAATATTTAGTTTTGCTTCATATTTTTACAATACTGCTATTAACAAACTTAGATTTAAATTGCAGGATAAAATTCATTTATGAGAAATGATAATTGTCTAAATAATTAAAATATTACATTTTCTACATCAGATAAATATAATATATAATATACTTGAAGTATGAAATATTTACTTTCACTCATCGTTTATTTGTCCATTCAATATAATAAAACTTTCGAAAATAAGGAGAACAGAAAGTGACTGCACGGCCTCTAATAATGAATGGGTGTTAGCCCGACAAAGATCTAATGTCTAAGAGCCTCTGTTAGAAACAATCTGGACATAGTGAGAATTCTCGGCTATCCATCTGGCGTATTAATACACCATCTGGGTAGAAGAGGACTATTTTATTTATACACCATGATGGATAGCCTCGACTGATCATAGAACCGCTATTGTACACAGTGTTTGACGTCGGACAAATATTGAAATAATATCAAGTATCGTTAATGATGAAAAAGTTATTTACATAAAAGGAAAAACGCATGATTTCTGTCAGACAACTGATTCCATTTAAAATTCATGTGATTATTTTGCTATTGTTATAATGTCTGAAAACCAAATCCGGCATAAAAGAACAAAACGCGTTTATTTCAATACTTCTTTAATACTCTGGCTAGATACTTAAATTCTTGTACTTTCCCACTGTTCTTAGGTAAACTAGATAAATTATGGCTTTGTAAAATGAATGGAAACGTTTCTCTGAAATTTGGTGCAGAATTTCAAGCAGTATTGAACAATGTTTATCAATTGTGTGTGACTTTGTCTCAGTGAAGTGGGCCAAATTAAATTTTACAGAGCTCTGAGACACCGTTGTAAATTGTATATCTCCTTTTCCTCCAGACAGTTAAACTTATCAGTTACATGATTTGTATATAAAAACAATGTAAATTTTGAACATTTTACAATTCTTTACATTCCTTTAAAACATTATAACAAAATTGAATTTTTGCTATGTCCGTAGTTGTTTTTAATCTTTAAGGAAGTCTGTGTGAAAGTTTAATAGGCAAAAAGGAGAGAAATTTATATACAAATATACATGTAATGGTAATCTAGAACAACTATTGTCATAAAATATGTATAACCTCTATATTATATTAGCAATTAGGATAAAACAAAAACTTGGGTCCTGGCTTTATGAATTTCTCTAGCGCTTTATATCTCTACTATATAGATTACTTGGCTGACCCATATTTAGGGACCCATGGAAAGTACCTCAGGGGACAGTTTTCATTTTGTAAGTAAATACAAGTAAATACCGCTGTATTTGTTCTGTACTGTAGACTAACTCATGAGCATGTTGAATGGCCAGTAAATCTCCTCTTCTAACAATCCGTCAATAAGGGTTCCCACACAAAGAGAAAACTTATATATAGCATACTTGTGTGAAAAGTCTTAATTCCCATATCTAGTGAAGAAGCCCTGTTGCGAAATATATCTAGGTTTTTTTTCAACAGCATAGAAAATCATGGGATAAGTTAAAATGACGGAAACAATAACTTCGGACCAAATATACACAAAAGTCAGAAAGTCAGGTCTGTTGAGCGGCAGGCAGACTGTACATATCATTGCACAATTGTGATATACAATATACTAGATATATAGATATTATTACTATTAAACATTCGAAATATAGCACATACAACTGAGTCAAATTGAGATTTAAATTATCTAAATTATGTGAGAGACAAGCTCTGATTTGTGGGAACCCTATATATGTTACATGTGTTGTTTTTGGCATGGCCATATATGCTGTAATAGACTTCATTCTTACGACAAAAGCAACAGAATGTGCAACTGATGTATTTTCCATGGGTATAGAAAGTAGATACGAGACTTTATAATCAATAAACACACAAAAAAAATCTGCACTTTTTAAATTTTGTTTCTTTTGTCGCAAATCACTTTCTTACCTAGGTGTTGTATTTGTTTTAGCATGAGTTTGTTTCAGCATGCACAATTTGTTTCATTTTCTTATCTTTCTGGTGTGTTTTGCTCTTTTCAGATTTCATTTTACTACTTAATTTACATGAGATATGACTGCATGTTTTTCAGCTGAATCTGATTATATAGCCTTATATTACCCCATCGTCTTGGTTATTGTCGTGGTCCTTTTGTGGGATTGTTTATATGAAAATATCAATGTCTGTGTTAAATAATTGATGTTGTTCTCTATACCTTATGCGCATTTCTGTCTTTTAAAAATCAAAATGTAGAACTTCATAAAAAGTGAAAATTGCTGAAATTCTTCATAGCTATACATCTAGCCCTGTATCTGTATTTTACGAGAATGAATGTAACAGGAGCGCAAGGTGAATTCCTGCTGCTGTTTTTAAATAAGCTTGCTCTGTTTTGATTGATGCCGATTGCATATTTAATAGTGGAAGTTGTATTTCGGATTCTGTGACACTAAATAGCTCAGCACGCATATGGGGTCTATTTAAAATGTTTACTGTACACAAATAGCCGCATTGTTGTAAAACTTCAAAGACTGTTGTGTTTTAAAACAAAATACTAATTTTGTATCTCATGAGGGTATTAATACCATGTAGTCATAGAACGACAGTAAGGAGTGTGGTATTTATATTTATATAATATATTTGTATTGTAGCCACTCCGTGTATCAAGGCGATATGTCCGAGTGAAGGTTGGACGACGGGAGGTACAACAGTGATTATCATTGGTGATAACTTCTTCGACGGTCTACAGATTGTGTTCGGCACGATGCTTGTCTGGAGTGAGGTCAGTTTATTCTCATTTTCGCCTATTCAGTATTTGAATTTTGAATTTTCTCTTTGTAATTGTTTTCATAAAATTTTGCCTTCGTTCGGGTACTATAGAAAATAAAAACTGTACATTTTCTGCGACTGTAACTTTCCTGATGGCACTTGTCACGAATATGCCGTGTTTGAGATGAATAATGTAACCCAAACAAACTAGTTTCCTCCGGAATTAGATCGCTTACCCGATCAATGTCATTAACGCGCTTTACAGCATTTCTACTACTTAGAGTTGTATGGGAAAATCAAGCACCCGGAAAGCATTGATTGATTGATAAAATAGCTCCGGAAACACTCGGATGCAGTTATTGATAATCCGGAAATCCTATTTATGTAAACATCACGTGATGATATCCTTGTTGGTTTTCTCTAGATCTATTAAAATGCACGGCACTATTTTCAGCCAGATTTGACATACAGTTGCAATAACAATCATTACAAAAGATTTTGTAAGCATACAGTGATCTTATAATTATGTACAAAATTGCTTATTATTTGTTGATGCAATCCGTTTGGGAAAAACATGAAAACATGTTATTTTTCATCATACCAGAATGAAAAGTGAAAAATGGGATTGTTTTCATGATTTATGTGACGTATACAAATTTTATGGCAATCCCATATTTTTATGTTCATTACCACAGCAATAAGAAAATCAAAACAGTAAAAACAAAAACAAAAAAAACAAAACAAAAAGAGAAAAAAAGAAGAAAAAAACACAAACAAACAAACGCTCACGATTTAAAATTGGACATGTCACATATTATTTTCTATTGATTGAAATTATTTCAATTATATGATCTTGAGTGTGATTAAATATCGATATCGATGTCATTTTTCAAATCATTACATCTCTTATCCTGAAGTAATTCCGCGAGGTCGGAGACTGCATGCTGATATACCAATTGACATATTGTTATATATTTTAACCAGTGTAACAATACCACGACAAATGTTTCACGATACTAATCATTTTCCAAACAAAATCATTCACTTATTTTCTACATCATAATGGAGATTACTTTGGCATCAATTTTCAGTTTATCGGATAAAAGAAGTCTAAATACGCGGCGGTATTGAATGTTGAAGTTTTATCCTCTTGCAAGCCGACTTCATTTCACTTGGATTAGGTTGTCTCAAAGTATTCGTACATTCACTATATGCAGTCCCTCGGTCTAATATGGATGTCCGTTCACAGCGAATCCTAAAGATTGTTTTAGAAGGTTGAAGTTCAAATAGATAATAGCATAAAATATCACGCAATTTTTATTATATGTACTGATACGTATTAAATACATATAGCTTTTGTTTGTCAACAAATGCGTCAAGTGATTTTTGATAATCGGATAAAAACATTGACAGATTTTAAGTCCTTTTTTTATAACTGTAAAACTAGTGTTTAAATGTTAATATTGATACTACTATGATAAGTTATCTATTAAGGAAGGCATGTGATTTATTGGCTTTATCAAGCGCTACTGTAGAACAGACTTTGTGAACAAGCTTATGGAATAAGCAGGAAATCGTGTCCTCACAAAGCTAGCTACATTTCATCTATTAATCATTAATGATTCCTTGGTATTCGTGCTCCGTTATTTGAATACCGGAGTAATTAATTTTACGTTAATGGTTTTGAAAGCGATCGGATAGTCTATTGAAAAGCCAACTAAGGAACGTAATGGAATTGCATCTGTTATTTTTTAGAGTTAATCTAGAGAAGTTTACGTTTTCTAGTGAATAGGATGGTTTCCTGACTGTTTCACCGAATGTATGGTGACAATGACGGCTGAAGGGGTCTCCGGAATACATGATTTATAATCACACTGAGAATCGTCACGTGCGTTCATATAAAAATTCATACGCGTTAATTAGTTGATTAACAAGTGGAGAACGATTTTCCTTTTTGTTGACAGAAAAGTTCGACGATTCCGGAACTCCTCCACTTATATATTAATATTGTATTGGCATACAAGTACAAGTAAAGTTCACTAAGTAAATGATACAACGTGCATAACCTCCCTTGAATAGCATCTATCGAAGGATTTTATATTACTTTTATTTATTTTTTTTATTTATTTATTTCAGTTACTGACGTCTCATGCGATAAAGGTACAGACTCCGCCTCGACATATACCGGGGGTTGTTGAAGTCACCCTCTCATATAAATCAAAACAGTTTTGTAAAGGTGCACCTGGAAGATTTGTATATACATGTAAGTATCAGTTCTTTCATGTTTAACTAAAAATATTGGAAAGAAATCTATCAAAATAAGACGCCCAACACGAAGGAAAACAATGAAAATAATACAGGTCCGACGGTTTAATGAACTTGTTCATGTTTTTAGTGAATAATGCAAGCTTTCCTTCGCCCCCTAACACCGGCTTAAGTACAATTTAACAATTACAAATAGACCAATAGCTAACTTCTGCTGGAAGGTTTGTAATCAATAAACAAGTTACATGTACTATTTATATTTGATATGTTCATTATATAGTGAATAATTAATAATGTAAGTTCATAATGAACAAAATGCCCTGTATGCCATATGTCTTACATATGACCCCAGTTATATATACATTTTTAGGGTGCAAAAGGTATCCAATTAAAACGTTAAGAGTGAAAAGGAACATTTTGTGCATATAAGATATATTTTCATACTTTTCATCATTTTCTTTGTTTTATACCAGCCTTGTAAATATATTACAATCAAATATGCATGATTCATGTTTTATTATTTTAGCTCTAACAGAACCAACAATAGATTATGGTTTTCAAAGATTAATGAAACTTATTCCACGTCACCCAGGAGACCCTGAAAGGTTACCAAAGGTATTCTATAAATGCATTCACATTTAAACGCTCTGTTTTATACATCCATTTACAATATATCATCTTCGTGATTAAATATACATATAAGTGCTTTTAGAATTATTGATGCACTGAAAACATTTTTCAAAAATTCTTTTAATTTGAGACCAAACAGAACAATGGTATTTTCATTTTAAGATATTAATATTGACATCATATATCTAACTTGAAATTCATTCAAGTAAAGTACCACAAAGCTATATTTAATATAAGCCTCTGATAGTAATGACAATTTGCAGATGGTTATAAAACGACTCTCTTTGCCCTGTATTACATTTAAGACAAATTCTAAACTCTAAATGAAAGAAAGGAATATTTTTTATCTCAAGGAAATAATATTGAAGAGAGCTGCCGACCTTGCCGAAGCCCTGTACAGCATGAGAAATCCAAATCAGTTATCCCTACCGGCCCCTAGATCACCTCCAATGAACAATACTCCTACAATGTCCGGATTTAACACATATTCTGGTCAGTTAGCTGTCAGTGTACAAGAAAATGGCCAATGGGAAGACGGTATGTATCTTTATAAATTTGCTATGTGAATGTTAAGCCATGAAGAAATATGCAAAGATGAAGGAAAAACTATATATGATACATTGGTATATGTACTGTCATGTTGGAGAAATTGATAGCATGATTAATAATAACATGTTGAAGATTTATCAGCATAGTGCAATGGACCAAGTCAAGTCAAGAAATATCTTTTTTAACAAGGAGCTCTGAAAAACTTTTAAAGCATACATGTAAACTATATTACAGGATAACAACATATAGAACATATGATACGACAATGGAAAATATGTTTTATGATATATATATAATAGAAAAAAAAACTATATAAAAAAGAAAAGCACAACTTTTGGTGCCGTTGATTTAGGATTTCGTGAAGGCTACGTTCTTCATATTATTTGGTGTTACAGGTTTTTGATAAGGCATAACATGTTTAATTATTTACACGAATTGTAATTTAAGCATATCAATCATGAAAGATAAGAAAAACAAAAAAAAACTTTGAAAAAACTTAGCAAATGAATATACTGGATACATACAAGCAACTAAACAAATGATAAGCCGACAAAAAATAGAGAAAAAAGAAATACAAAGACAACAGACGAAGGACAATGACCTGAAATAATTCTTTATCTTGACTCTAATCGAATTTATGACGTTTGTTTGTAATTGACTTTAAAAAAATAGAACAGTTCAAGTAACTCTCTAAATATTAATGTGAATTAAATATATCCGTTGAAGCATTAAGAATTATTTCACCATTATAACATTTATTCTATGTCATAATTGATGCATTGACAATATCATGATTCAATAATTGATTGAAAAAATAATTGTTTTCCAAAGATCAATACATAAGTTACTGACTGAAAACATCAAAGAATACTTGGCATATTACGTAATTCACTGTCATTGTACCGTACTCTAATCGTGCTCATTGCAATTTGTTGCGTTATGTAGACTGTTTTGGATCAAAGTAGATTCATTTTGTCCCCCAAGTCATTCGTTTGATTAGCTTAAGATTTTACTCTTAAACGGCGAAGATCGAGCTTGATTTGAAATAAACACTTATTATAACTATGTAAATACAATTTTCAACAATAAATGTTTTGATGTAGATAATGATCGGTTTGAGGGGAATCTAGTATGTGTGTTTAAAGAAAATTTACAAATGTATCATATGCTGACAGGGTATAACAGAGGTCAAAGTTCGAGTGTCTCGCCAAGAGGGTATGGTTCAACCGGCTCAACTCCTCACAGTAACGGAAGTGCTTACAGCTCCACCATGAATGGCTACCACAGTAGTGCCGGGGGTTTAGGCAACATGGGTACGTGTTTAAGTACTTACTATCCACGATGCCACCAACAATACTCGTGAAAGTATTGTGAAGAAAAATAAAAATGGAACTAGATATATAGTGTTATATAACTAATGCTACTAACACGTAGATAAAAAGCAATGATGCAGAGTATTTTACTTTGTTCCTTAACTAATCAGGACATGTGACAAGTTTACTTAATACATGTTTAAATTGATGTCTAAAATGAAAAAGCGAAGACAGTTGCAGAGTTTGTAATTAGATAATATAAATTATGTTTTCTTCTCACCTCCGTCTTTCTTATGTAAGTAGCAGCTTTCACTTACTGTCGGCTTCCCTCTTTTCTGCAGTCTTGCACATCAGTTTCTTTCATATTCGTATTCTCCCACCTCCATTTTAGCTTCAAATTCAAAACAGAAAAGTGCTTTCGCACCGGTCCGTGCAGCAATGACTGGTGGTGACATGGGGTTTGGACCTTCCACCGGGGGCTTTGGAATGACGGGATTACAAGCTGGTTGGGCCCATACTTTTTACAATGTATGTTCATAGAGACAGTTTGTGTGTTCATTGTACCTCTTTGTGGCATGTTATTTCGTTCTGTGAAATGCATAATTACATTCTTTTATCATATTTATATACTTAGTTTCTAAACGTATCTGCATCATTGCTTTTGTTCAGAAATCTGTTTTATCAAACGCCGTATAAATCGGACATTATTCAAACAAAATATATCCTCACAAATTGTTGTTTATACATACGTATTATTTTAATAGTTTTAGTTTCTGTTTGTTAATGTTGTTGATTAGCCCTTTGTCTGCTGAATATGTGTGCTGGACTTGTCCAACATTGAATCTGAATAACTTGAATTTTGTTTCAAATGAAGTTAAGGGATTTCAATATCAAAATACAAAAAGATAGAGCCTGGTCAGACTGCATAGATTTTCAGGCTAGCCTAGCTCTGTATTTGCGACAAAGGTTTACCACTTTCGACCGTAGCAGTTAAAGAGTTATATAATCAAATAAATCATTTTTAGAGTTATTACCTTTTGAACATACCTAATTCATTATGTATTATTTCAAGTTGTCTAAAAAGCATGTATGGTATAAACTATAAATACAAGATTGTCATCAAATGATGATTGCATGATAAGAAATATGATAAATACAAAAATTAAAAAAAAACAACAGTCAAACCTTTATAACTAAATATATAACTGAGAAGTATTTACATACATGAAACGATAGATGTTGCTGTTAAAAATCTGATCTAACATTACTGGAATTAATTTATTTTCTTTGTAAATTACTTTAACTTGAAAAATAAAAACATTTTTATCATAGACAGACTTATGTACGTCATTAGGTCGTTTAACAAACGTTTTGTATTTTATTTCAGGAATGAGTGGTCTAGTGGGCTCACCATTTTCAGCCATGAATCCATTTGCTCTACAACCATGTAATGCTCCACAACCTTATGGCAGCTCCATAGTTTCTCCAGCAAAATAGAAATGTCTTCGGAGTCGATTGTTAGGATATAGCTTCTGTTGAATTCTTTGATCCGTTAGGAATGTGAAAAGGGCATTAGAAACACTTTGTAACAAGTGACAGTGCTGGTTTATTAGCTCAATTCCATGGCTGGATCACTTCCTTATGTGAAAAGCATTCCGTTGCATTCAAACAGCTTTAAATTGAATGTAACCACGTGGGTTGCTAGGATACAGACTGTTGGATGTGATAATGTGGTACTGTAGATTACTACATAAGAAAATGAGTGTGAAAATAAACTTAATTTTTAAACAACTATGAACGTGAAATCGTTCATGTTAAAAGCTATAGTGCTTGCCAACAAATTTTGTTTTTATTTATTAATACATGTTTGTTAAAGTAGATTAGTGAAACTATCACTGGAAATGAAAAATGACGATTGTCTCGTCATTAAAATAGACAGTGTACCTTGAAAAACGAAACTTGTTTTTATTTTATTTACAATATTTCTAATACATTACAATGATGGATATGAAATTAGGGAACCTCTGGTTTAAATTTACTTCATACAGGGTATATCATTTTATAAATATAGCGACATTGTATGTTTAAGAATGTGTTTTTATTTGATGACTTTAATTTTCATTGATTATGAAAATAAAATCATGAAGTGTTTAAAACTCAAACAAGATTCATGCCAGTACGAAGTTCACGTGTATATATTAATAATTTGAGTGATGATAACAATATGAATGCCTCTTCTCTGTGAAAGAATAGCCTTAATTAATTATCACACGGTATAAAACAAGTATGTTATAACCCATACGATGGTGTAATTTCAGTTCAAAATTGGTCAGTTTTTATCCTGCTACACCCCTGTTCTCAATAAGATTTTATTACGTATTATTGAACTTGTCAATAGAAGGCGTTAGAAGTTAAATATATGTCTTGCAGGGCATAAATACTTTAGAAAATTTACACATTAGTTCATTCATTAAATACTCATTTCTAGTCAGAAAAAAGTGCCAAATATATAAAACGCGAAAAACACCCATCTTTATTTGTTTTCTTTTATATAAAACTTTAATTTATTGTTGATATTATTATATAGATAAATGTAGTATTTTTCTCTTATATTTAACAATATTGTGTAAATTATCAATAAATTTCCGACTATTATTATTGGCTCGATGTTTAAATGTTGTACAGTATATGACCATATGTTACGCTATAGTTTTAAGATCACACTCGGAGACAGGGCCTTTTAGAAATACTAGCTTTACAATGTCCTGATGTAGACCTCTTTAGGCTTTCTCAATCTGTTTCAACCACTTTATATAAATAATAATAATAAATTTTTATTAATGCAAATGGTATGATACAATACCGGGGGTATATTGGATGTAATGGGGAATATGGCCTGTAAGGGGTATATGGGCTGTAATGGGGGTATAAGGGCTGTAATAGGGTATATGGTCTGTAATGGGGTATATTGGCTGTAATTGGGTAAATAGGATGTAATGGGGTATATGGGCTGTAATGGGGGTATAAGGGCTGTAATAGGGTATATGGCCTGTAAAGGGGTATATTGGTTGTAATGGGGTAAATAGGATGTAATGGGGTAAATAGGCTGTAATGGGGTATATGGGATGTAATGGGTATATGAGCTGTAATGGGGTATATTGGTTGTAATGGGGTAAATAGGCTGTAATGGGGTATATGGGATGTAATGGGTATATGAGCTGTAATGGGGTATATGAGCTGAAATGGGGTATATTGGTTGTAATGGGGTAAATAGGCTGTAATGGGGTATATGGGATGTAATGGGTATATGAGCTGTAATGGGGTATATTGGTTGTAATGGGGTAAATAGGCTGTAATGGGGTATATGGGATGTAATGGGTATATGAGCTGTAATGGGGTATATGGGCTGTAATGGGGTATATTGGGTGTAATGGGGTAATAGGCTGTAATGGGTATATGGGCTGTAATGGGTATATGAGCTGTAATGGGGTGTATGGGATGTAATGGGGTATATTGGGTGTAATGGGGTAATAGGCTGTAATGGGTATATGGGCTGTAATGGGTATATGGGCTGTAATGGGGTATATGGGATGTAATGGGGGTATATTGGGTGTAATGGGTTATATTTGCTGAGATAGTAAACAGGATATTTGTGCTATTCAAAATATAACATTATTATCTCTAAAGAAAATTTCAAATTTCCATTTGTAAAAAGTTTAACTATGTTTTAATGCGTGCAATTATATTTTTCGTTATGACATAGTATCCGGTTTCTCAAAGAAAAAAAAACACATTTCGCCTTAGTATGTTCTTTAAAGTAGAATTGTTTAAGTGACAGAAACTGGTAAATAAAGGGCAGCGATTATTCTGTTTGAGAAAACATTTATACTTTAAAGTCGTAAATCATAATTGCTTCTAACTTTTTGATTTGTCTTTTAATGTCTTTTAAATCATAATACTGGACTACAGTTTATTCAGAAGAAACATTTAACGGGTCTCTATGTATTTTATCTGTTTTATTCGAGCGTAGATTTATTCAGTTGTACTTAGAAATATTGCTTTAGTTGTGCTTGTTTAAATAAAAGTAAGCATGTAAACAATTAACTCCCCTTTTCACCTTACTACATTCAAACTACATGTTAAATATTTAAAAATTGCAAACGTTAATTGACCATATATCTTATCTGTTTATATTATTTTATAAATTTGTTCTTGATGAAAATAAAATGAGATTATTGATAAAAAAATATTTCTTTTTCATTGTTTCTTTACCTTTTCTCTATTTGTGGAATAGATTTACCCACCTTTGCAAAGTCCATGATTAACTTACAACAACAAAAAATGTACCAAATGAAAAAATGAAACAATCAAAAGTTGTTCAGATGGCGCGAACGCACAGGGACTAGACATCCCCTTGCCCTTGTAACAGTTGCACTTGTCAACAAAGTTTAAATGATGTTTCACATTTGCCAAAAAGAGAAAAAAAGATAAAGTTATAGTACCCAGTATTTTCGACAATCGATATTCCTGTTCATTGTCATATAGAGACTTATGTGTTATTACCGAATACGTAAACATGGAGCGATATCCAAATCTGACTAATTTGTTATGTGTTTTCAGTTTGCAAAGAGCAAATATAACCAGAATATTGTTCTTATTAATTAGAAAAAATGCCGAAAACGCATGTTATTATGTAACATGTATACACTGATGAGTCCGGTATCAAAGTATCAAATTAACCATACTGGATGTCTTTTTAAAATCAGGAAAATGGATGGTCCCTCGGAAGCAGTGAAAATAGCCATATGATGTGAATGAAAATTGCAAACTCAGTTTGATTGAGTCTGTTCACTGTGCAACATCCCTCGCACGCCAGCAGTATTAAATTTGGTTGAATATAATTTCAGTAAATAAGCGGTATATTATAAAACGTTTCTAATGTTTTGTGCATGATTATGCTGCAACATTCTTACTTGGCTTTATGGTGTATGGTAAAACAAAATACAGATTGCCGTGCATAGACACGCGTCTTTATCTTAATATTAACTTAACATCCAGCCAATATTGGAACTTTTGGTGACGTTTTATTGTTAAATAAATTTCCGAACAAATTCATGTTCATCTTCAACCCGGAGTAAGCGTCTTCTCGTGACTCAAAATGGCCGCACGGTAACTTCCGGTATACCTAGACAGATAAGTCTAAGTCTTATACTTTTAAAGGTCAGGATTCAGAAAGGATCTTTTTGAAAATTGAAAATATTTAGTATTAACTTGTAGATGTTTTTTTTTTGTAGTAACTGCATATTTTATAAACTTTACGGTTGACAAAACATGAGAAGTTTTCTTGCGAAGTGTAGTTTATATCAGGCGTATTAAGGGTAAACAGATCGATTAAGCTTAATTGAAAAGTGATTAGTTAAAACAGATAAACTGATAAGAAACATTAATAGAATTGCTCAGTCACAAACAAAAGTTATCTCACGGTAATTTGGCACTATTTTCTGCGACACGTGACTCCGTCCCCGAAGCATGCGCAGTGAGCAAGAACAGATCATAAAATATTCATGCGCCATCCATACGACATATCCTCATTCAATCATCCTGCCTTTCGGCATATGGTATGCCATATTAAATGCGTATAATGTCGGCGATATTGATAGATCCGAGTACAGGCATGTGAATATTTTATGATGAAAACCGAACTAATTACTTTTTCTGCAGTTATGATGTTTCTGTTACTCTTAATACAATGAAACGATTTCAGTTCAATGGATTGGCTTTTGAGTATAAATTGACATTTATAGTAAAAGCTCTTGTCCATTTGTTATATTAATCGGAGAGATGTTTTACTTGTTTGGAATATTGCTATATTTTACAAAGTAAATCATCAAAACATTGATGTTTAAATTTAAAGTTTAATAAAAGATAAAACGACACTTTTGTTTCAACAAATAAGAGGGTTAATAGATAAATAAATAAACAAACGACATCGCTCCTGTGTTGTACAATGTAATCATACCGCAGCTTCTTTCATTGCCCCCTCCCAAACACCCTCCTCTCAAACGGCTTTTACCCTTTAAAATACTCGCTATAAAGACCTGATTAAAACACTCTTTCATCTTTCCTAATATTGATTGATTGAAACATACATGTAGATTATACTTTTAAAATAAGTTATTTGGTATAAGTTAATATAAATTATAGATGCTACTGACGTTTTACTGTCTTTAATGTCTCAGTACAGCTTAAATCTGCGAGGCGCAATTTAAAATTCAACCCGAATGTTTAAAAATACATTGTACATACATATAGAGAAAGTTTTTAAAAAAATGGCAGATTTCTGGGAGCATTGAAAAGACATGGGAAAATTATAGACCCTTTTTTGATCGAGTCTGTTCATGAGGGGCAAATATAATCTTAACATCATACATTCCTCTAGCACAAATTTGACACCATACAATATAAACATAGATGATAGAGATATCTTGATTTTCATTATCCCTAATGAACAAACAAATCAAGTCAGCTTTTTTCCATATTGGACGTTGTAGTGCGTTTGGCATTTTCCATGTAACGCCAATGATAAAAGCTGTGAACGAATGAATTCTACAAAGAGTGTTGCACCTTCAAACCTTATTAATACTAAGCATTTCTTTAATATGAATTTGATATAAAATACATTTATCATGTACAATATGGGAATATGCACAACTTTAGAAATCATTTAAGACTCTCATTGCGGCTCGTTCGATATGGGTACACGTCCATATATATTCTTGATTGTACGACTGGCCATTTTTAACAATGTCATACAGAATACATAATCAATTCTGAGAGAGAAATATGACGTGTGAACAATATGTTAATGTTATACAATATGTTAAGGTTATACAACTATAATTGTCATATCATTTACGCCAAAATGGGTCAAGATAACATTTTCCGAAGACAAGGGATATTCGACATTTGTCGGTAATGTATGTAACACGTGCAGGAAAACACTCGAGTACAGAAAGTGGGAAACATTTCCGTTATTTATTTTACTTATTTATTCTCTTTTTCTGTTTTCTGAGTCAAAATAACAAATTTCTGATTGTAATTATACATTATCCATTATTTTGTGTGTTATATTTAAATGCTACAGGTTTATGTCGCAAAAATTAAAAATAGGTGAAAAGTGGTCCCGGTAGGCGAAAAATAAAAAATCCTCTCATTTTGTACATTATTGCATGAAAATATCAGAACTTTGTAATACTATTATAATTGCTTGATTGCAAATTAATGATCATGATGGATGTAGGAAAAGACAAATAGAATGCAACAATTATATAAAATACAATGTACGCGTTAATAGCTGCATTTATCAATTTTGGTCCTCGCGGAGTTAGGAGCGAAGCCATAAAAATAAAAATTGTTCAAATTTGAACCTCAATAGTGTTTGTCATATCAAAAAGATTTGACCTAACTGTTACTCAGAATGCTTTTGTTTTAAGCGTACATTCAAGCTGAACGCAATAATTCTGCTAAGTGAAATTCGAATTTTTAGACTTAATCGGCCACATGTTGAGGAAAAGGATATGTGCATACATTATTTATAAACGTAGGTCAGTCGTTCGTCGAATCGGCCTTCCTTCGAAAAGAAATCGTTTCATATAATTAATACAAATGTAGAGAATACTTTGGTATTTATTTCTCAGATTTGGTAGGGAGACTGGCCTTGGCCTGTTGATGAACACACATTTTTGACATCAGACAAAAGTCAAGTACACTGTGATAAGAAATTGTCCGACCAATTGCTGAAAACATTTTGAACAACTGCGTCAAGATTTAGTGGTGAGATTTATCCTGACTTGCCGAAAACCGTGTTGATATCAAGGGTGATGTTACAGTGGTTGTGACATAAAAAGTAGCTTTTCTGGTCAATAACTAGAGTACGCTATGGCCTACTGTACTCGGATTGATGGAGATGTTACAAATGAATTGGTGGTTAATTTAGATGTCGGTACATATGAAGAAGCTGATGCACAGTTTTTATTTTAAGTTGGCTGGTTAGTAACAAAATTATCACTACGAGGTCACTAACTTTGTTCTTTTGTACGTGATTTTGACTTTGTCCTTTCCGTTATGTTCTGCCTAGATAAAGGGAAATAACCGCTAAATGTGCTGCTAAATTCCTGTGCACCGTTATCTCTCTTGAACAGTGTAAATTTGTCACGTAGAATAATGAATTATTTAGATCGTTTATCTATCTGATTTGTTGGAGAATAAAAATTTCATTATTTACAGTGTTCTTTATTTTAAACTCAAAATACTGCTCTACTTTCAACTTGCAGGAAAATGGTCATTTTTCCAAGTTAAACGCCAAATCAATATTGATTTATGGTTGTTATTATTTAAATAAAAGCCATGATTGAATTTATTGTGTAAAGAAAAAATGAGTCATCTGTTTTAATAGTATCAATGATAAACTCATAACCACTCATATGGAAACAAAATAACTAATCTGAACTTAGGATACATTAACATATTTTCATATATTATGTTCATCACGAAACGGAATATACGTTTGTATTACAATAACTTTCAGTCGTATATGGACATCTAATGGACATCTGTCTCTTGTAAGATAGGGAAAAAATCAATCTGACTTTATGTAAAAGCGGAGCGTTATTTAGAGCTGATTTTAATCAGATTGGGGAAAAAATATTAACCATAATAAAACTTATGATAACAACTGTATGGTCAGGCATTAAACTATCTTATGTTTTAAGAGAAATAAGTTAAAGTGCAACAAAACAATTTCACGATTTTTACTATATTTCAGATATAGTATGTTCTTCGTTTTTTTACTACAACGGAGCGTCTTTCTGAAGACATTTCCACTTAATTAAGATTTACCCTTTCATTACATGAACATTTCCAATTAATATGTAATTTATTCAATATTTAATCAGATTAAAAAAGTTATATTGATTTTAGTAGTGTACAATTGATATAATCAATTAAGGTTCAATTAAAACTTTACAGTCAACCCTGCGACTAAGGCCTCGCACAGGATAAATATAACATGTCTTGTATAGACAAGTGTTCCTTATCAAGAGGATTCTCTATTCACTCTGGTGTAGTAACAGCGGCATTTTATTACATGTACATGTATCATATTGCACATACTTACATCTTCTGTCGAGTCTGGTTTAGATTATTTAAATATGTGGTTGATACTACCGTTTAGTAAGTCGCCTATTTAAACATGGCAGTGCTGTAAGAAACTAATTATGCTACATGTATCTAGATATAAAAAAAAATATTCTCCGTTATTTTATAAATATTTCTGTACTGTAAATAATAATATCTGGTTAATAGTTATTGGTGAATTTGCTGCTACATCTACATGATATTGAGCAACAATCGTTTAGAAGGTTCAAGTTTTCGAGTTTTTATTTCAAACTGGGTCAAAATTGGTACCAGTGTTGTTAACAGCAAGTTTCACACACAAACGAGCAGTATCAACAAATGAAAGCTAGTGTATAGACAAAGCTAGAGGACAAACCATTATTAGTCTGATAAAAACACAAATAAGACAAGAAATACTGTTGTATGATTTATAAAGATGAGTGACTAAAAAGTGACAAAGTAACATACTGTTGTGGTTACAGCATGAAATTTCCTGACCAAAATACTACGTATCCAGTATATGCAGCCCCTTAAATAATATATAATGCACAGAGGGGCACCTGAGGCCTTCTTCCGTCAGTAAAGCTATAAAAACTCCATATGACCTATAATGTGTTGTAAAATCCTAATTTTAACAATTTAACGTTATTAATTTGACAGGAAAATGTTAAAAACTTCTCACATACATATAGCTAAAGATGCCACCCAATATAGCGAAAATTCATAATTCTTTCCGTCATATACGAATACTTTCGTTAAATAATTTAAGACAAGCGTCCATTGATTCAGAAAAATGATTGATAGATAATTGGAAAATATTGACGATTGGCAATGGAAAAGAAGGATAAAAAGTAATTCATTCATTTAGCCATTTTCCATTTATCAATCTTACGATTTATATGTACTACTAACAAGTTTAGTTTGGTATTTACCTTTAGGAAATTACAATTTTTATGTTTTCGGATATTCGAATTCGGATACAAATTATTATCATTTCTTATGATTCATTCACGAACGTGTTCACTCTTTTTCATACGCGTATGACTACAAGTTGAGATCACATCACGCACTAATTGTTTTATTACTTATGACACTAATTTACGATTTAGTCATTTGTTAAAATAACATAATGGTGTGGGAAATTAATTTCATTTGTTTTTTTTTATTTCCTGGTCTTTTTAGTCATGATATATCCGATCACTTACAGTCCTCTCCCAGAATAAATGAATAATTTTATACTATGACATAGTGCATTAACTGACAAAGTCACATAGATGATTAGTCAAATTCTTAATGAAATAGTTTATAGGTCAACAACTCTTTTTAAAGTGTTCTGAGTAAACAAATATTCATCAATACACCCATTGAAAGTTTCCAAACTAGCAGATGATAAGCTAGGATAGACTTGTGAACGATAACAGTTAACGATTAATCTAAATACCTATAGTGTCAATATATAGTTGAATCCATGACCTCTGAACTTTGTGTCTGATGCTCAACCACTTCTCTAGATATTCAAATCATAATTGTATTTATCTTATTGCCTTTGAAACACTTAAATTGTCTAACAAATCTTGAACATTGGTAGTTTTGATATGCAGTATGTAGCATTACCTTATGATTATCTACAAAGAATATTCAAATTGACATGGCGTTAGGCTCATTTATTAAGATTTCTGTATTGAAACTTTAACATACCTCTTATCTCTATTAAAAAAACCTTGAGGAAAAGAGTCTGGGCAGAATCGTTCATTATTTTAGGGAAATTAAAACAAAACTATTGACTAAATATCAGACAGTGCAGACCATGATCAGGTGGTAAAATTGCACTAGGGGATCTTGATCTGCACTTGTCTGATGGGTGTAATCAGTTACTGCCACTCAGCCTGCCAGCAGTTTAGGGGTTAACTTGTTTTTAGGTAAGTGATCTAGGATTGTTGTGGTTCTCTTGTTTTAACATTATGATATATATATTTCTTTTTTTCTGTTGCTAAAAATATTATCTGATTAGTGTTCTGTAGTTAACATCAATTATGTATACAGCATGCTTTTGGTATAATACTAGTAGTATAATAAGTCATTTTGATTATTAACACTGTATATGGGCCAATTCTTAACCATGTTTTCAATTTTGAAAATCCTGGTTATGACATGTAGATGGGAGTAAGGCAGGTGAGTGTCAAACAAGATGGTTTTCAGTCAATAACTTAAGTTCAGATTGACATGTCTTAATCAGACTTTGTGTATAGCAAGCTTATGTGAAGACCTCCCCTGAGATTGCTTTTTGGGGCCCCTAGGGTCAATGTTAAGGTCTTTGTTACAAAAAATAGAAAATTGGTTTTCAGTGAGATATTTCAATGAAATTTGGTATATAGCAAGTTTACGGGAAGACCTCACTTGGGATTGATTTTTGGCACCTTAGGTCAATTTCAAGGTCACTTTTCCTAAAAATAACTTGACTGTGATTTACTTAGTTTTCAAATAACAGTTCCCATGGTACAAACTACAAATGCAAGTATTAACTATAGAGAAAATGTTCTGTCACTAGTCAGAAAGTTAAACTAAAACTACATTTTTACATCACAAAGATAAGTGGAAAAATCGCTACACTCTAGGAACTAAAATATACCAAGCATCTGTTAGGGTTTTAAAAAAATTTATTAAAAATTCATATTAATTGTAAATATTTGAGGTAACTCTGATGATATTGTCATGAAAGTTTTATTGAGTTATTCCCCTTTAGTCAGATACTTTTCTTATAAGGTTTAAACATATTTAAACTCAACTGCGAAACAAATTCTTGCAACTTAAAGCTCGACAGTTTTCATTAAGAGTTGTTTTATCATGAATGCTTTAAGGCATGTAAATAGATAGAGAACTGTATTATATATGGACGATGATTGACTAAATTGTGCATGCTGCAATGTATATTTTGATGCTGACATAATAATACTGCTTCTGAAATTTGTAAAAAACTATGATTTATTTACTTATAAAATTTTCAATACTTTACTTAATTGAATTATTCAGTTTGTTATATTAATTGCCTTAATTGATAATTCCATAATTTGTTTGTAAACATTTGGGTTGGCTGCAAAACTGTTGTAAGTCCTTCTTAATTTCATATAAGTTACTGCAGTTTTGAAGTTAATCTTTGATTTGTCTTACAGTGTTGAATGTTTATAGCATTCCCATAATTATAATGTTCATTATTTTTCTGTTCTTTATAAATACTACACAAAACTTTTTATATACAAATATGTGTGTCATGATTAAGAAAGAATTATAATTCATTTGGTCAGATATGGGAAGTGTAAGATATTTTAATGACGACCTGTCACAGTTAATTTAGATCTGAATCAGATTTTCTCAGTTTGATTTCACATTGCTTCAGGGTAGAATGTATTGTGTGGTATGGGAAGGTCCTGTCACAATGATTTTATTATCATATTAAATCTGGTTAACAAGGTCTAATATCGTGATGATATGCCTTCAGTTTACAACACTGACCTCAACATTGATATAATCCTGCTGTATAATGCCTGGAAAGATATAGGAAGGTCAAAGGTTCAAGCTTTACTAGGTCTCCTATATGTCCTGTTGTAAGGTGCTACCCATCTGTGACTTTAATTCCTAGTGCAGGGCAAGTTAGGTAAATAAAGATTTGTAACAGTCACAATAGCCTAATTATATTATATTGTAAGGTATACAAAGCTGTCAATATTTTCTCTGAAAGATTTTAACTTGCATTTATCTATATTTTAATTGCTTTTGTCAAATCATTGCGGACAAGTAGAGAATTGATATATGTATAATGTACTATTGTTACTGGCAGTGACTGTCAGCAATGAAAAATGTGCCATCAAGTTCATGTCACTCAGTATGTGTCAATTAAGCCTTGTTCATCCTTGCCATGAATGTTACGCTAGTCTATTCCGTTGCCTAATATACATTTGAACTTTGATAAGTCCTGTAAAAGTAATGTCAGGGGCAGGTAATCCAGACGAAACTACTGTATCAAGTTGACATGTTCTAGTTTACCGTGTGCATTAATATCATACTTGGTGGAGAAAATATATATATATATTTTTAAATAAATTTCTGTTATCATTGGATGTCATAATGTAAAAAGAAAAAAGAAAACACATACTATGCTATAAGAAAAACATGTTTATTTAACTTTACCCTACCATCACATCTATACAATCTACTATAATATGACTTGTTTCATTTACTACTGAATATCTATATTTATAAATAATATAAATACCGTATATAATATCACAATATATGTTAGGCTAAAAAATGTTTGTTACTAGTCTCCATTCTAAATGATTTAATTGTTCTGTTTTCCATTGCTGTTTTTTTGCTATATATTTTAGAAATAGGTGTTTATAATGTACTTATTAAATGTCTTTTAGTAAAGCAATAATGTACTGTTGGTAGCAAAATTTAAACGTTACTATGCAGACTTGGTTTAATAGATTTGTCTTATGTTGACTTTGGATCTGTCAATGGGAGGGAATTATGACATGTATTATTTAATTTAAGAATAATTTTAGATTTTTAAAGCAGCTAACAGAATATAATCAGCATGGCTGTATATCATTGAAATAGACAAGATATTTATACAGCCACTAAAATATGAAGGTTATCTTTCTATAGATTCTGCATCACACCCTTCAAGTATTTTGTGCAGATTAGTTTGGAAAACCAGCAGCAAACATTTTTTTATGCCATATAAGCTAATGAGTGGTATCACACAGTCAACTGAAATATTGTACACTTAAAAACTAAAAGAAAGCTGCTTGTAGTATACAGTTATTTCATAAGTGATTTGGGAACAGTCAAACTGTTGGCCCGAGGTGGAGGGGGTAGACTTTTGAACTGTTGCCCAAGGCCGTAGGCCGAGGGCAACAGTTCAAAACACTATCCCCGACACCGAGGGACAACTGTTTGACTGTTCCCAAATCACGCATGAAATAACTGTTTTATTACCTGATCAACTACTGTTTTAACAGTATTTGCAGAAGGAAAAAGGAACAAGAAAATAGTTTTGCACATATGTTAATAATTAAACTTAATATTTTAACTATGTCACGTCACGTCTGGTTCATGATCAAGATCGATGGACGCTTCAAGTGGGAATCCTCTATGACGTCAATGACGTCAGAGCACGAGAGGGAAACAGTTGAAACTATTGACCGGTCAACAGTTCGCGAACGTTGACGTTTTTAGAATTTCAGAAAACAGTAAATAATAACAAATTACATTTATATAAGGTATCAGGTAATAAATATTACTAAAATATTTATGTAAGGGAGGTAACTCAGAGCTTTTCTGCTTTTATATCTTGTTATAAAAGGGAGGTAACTGAGAACATCTTTAAAAAGTTTAATTACCAAATTGCCTACCTTTAGATACAATGTGTCTTAGGCTAAAATATGGATTTTTTTGGCAGATTTTGTTTAATAAAGAAAAGAAAATTAGTTCTTATATTACGCTGATGTAATATAATTATAATAGTAATTAAAAACTGGAAGAAGGTATTTGAACTCATATTGTTTTATAAAAAGGATATAAAAATAATTATGGTAACAAGCATGTTATGCAGAAAAAAGTCCTGAGAGGCGTCTGACTGTAGTTATGAACAATTAACTGTTAACTTAAAATGACCAAAAATTAGTTATATATATGAAGTTATTCAAGTTATATATAGATATGATAGGAAGTACAAAAACAATTTTTAGCTCGACTATTCGAAGAATATGAGAGCTATTGTAGTCGTGTCGGCGTCAGCGTCCGCGTCGGCGTCTGCGTTGGTTAAAGTTTTTTGTAAAGTCAAATATCTCAATTATTACTTGAGATATTCAATTGAAACTTACCATACTTATTTATAGTAACAAGGTACATTAGATTGACAAGTTGGATAACTCTGCCTACAATATTGACAGAATTATGCCCCTTTTTAACTTAGAAATTTTGGTTAAAGTTTTTTATAAAGTCAAATATCTCAATTATTGCTTGAGATATTCAATTGAAACTTACAATACTTATTTATAGTAACAAGATACATCAGATTGACAAGTTGGATAACTCTGCCTGCAATATGTGCAGAATTATGCCCCTTTTTAACTTAGAAATTTTGGTTAAAGTTTTTTATAAAGTCAAATATCTCAATTATTGCTTGAGATATTCAATTGAAACTTACCATACTTATTTATAGTAACAATGTACATCAGATTGACAAGTTGGATAACTCTGCCTACAATATTGACAGAATTATGCCCCTTTTTAACTTAGAAATTTTGGTTAAAGTTTTTTGTAAAGTCAAATATCTCAATTATTGCTTGAGATATTCAATTAAACTTACAATACTTATTTATAGTAACAAAGTACATCAGATTGACAAGTTGGATAACTCTGCCTACAATATTGAAAGAATAATGCCCCTTTGGAACTTAGAAATTTTGGTTCAAAGTTTTTTTTGTAAAGTCAAATATCTCAATTATTGCTTGAGATATTCAATTGAAATTTAAAAATACTTTTTTATAGTAACAATGTACATCAGTTTGCAAAATTGCATAACTCTGCCTGCAATATTTGCAGAATTATTTGCCCCTTTGAAACTTAGAAATTTTGGTTAAAGGTTACAGGTCTTCAAAAATATTTACTTGAAACTTTACACATGCACTTAGGGTCATAATTGGAGGGTCATAATTGTATGTCACTGACCAAGTTCCATAACTCTATCTTGCATTAAGTCCGATCATATCCCCTTTTCTACTTAGTCTCTTGGTTAATGTTTACATGCAAGTTTTACATATCTCAATAACTATTAAAGATATTTATTTAAAATTTCACATATGCATTTAGGGTCATAATTGTAGGTCACTGACAAAGATCCATTATGCTATCTTGCATTTAGGCTGATTTTTCTCCCCTTTTTCAACTTAGAAATTCATGGTAAAGTTTTGCTTGTAAGCTGTTATCTCAATAACTACTGAAGGGTTTGTGCCTTTTTTGGGACAATTTAATGCATTTATAATAATAAAGCAGTGATTTACTTGATAAAACATCTTAATAACAAGCCTTTGTACCTTTTCTGTAAAATTTATGTATTCATAGGTAATTAGTATTATTATACTCAATAAAACACCCTTGTGACATTACCTTCCGAATAGTCAAGCCAATACTGTATAATTAGACTCTCTCTAAGGCCTATTGCATGAATTTATAAAAAAATTAGCCCTTTTGTGAACTTAAAAAATTTAACATTATCAAGGCTCTTTTACTATCAAGCACTTAGAATAGTCGAGCGTGCTGTCCTACTGACAGCTCTTGTTATAAGCATAATTAAGATTTTTTTATTATATTTAAAAGCATTTAAAAGTAATGTTTGTAGATCTATGCAGTATAAATTTACATAGATATACACCTGTAATATTCATAGATTGTGTGTCTGTAAGACATGGTTGAGAAAATATTCAAGAAAATATTAACCATTACCAGGCTAAATATCTTAAATAGACTTGCCCATCATTTCAATCTGGACAAAACCATTATCTGCTAAAGGGACAATTTTGTAATATAGCATGATCAGAAGTTAGGGGTGTGCTCTCTGATCTTGGTCTGCACTGGATATATTCTGTTGTCACAAGCAGGCTAAGAGTTAATAAAGATAATATAAATTACACATAAATTACAACTTCTGTAAGAAATTATAAAACTCTGTCAAAGTACTTCAAACAGTAAAATTACATCAATTCAAAACTGAAAATTTAGTTTAAATACAGTATTCATCAAAATCATGTACCACCTGAGCTGTTACATTATTGATACATGTATTAGGATTACAAAAATACAAAAATACCTTAGTGTCAGTTTTTTGGCAGGTTATGTTTGCCAAACCTTGTAAAATATTTGCTTTCCTGTTTTAAAAAAGGCTTAAATTATTATGCTAGACCGAATCAATATGTATATTGCAGGTTAATTCAGTATGTTGAATAATGTATTGTATTATACTACTTGAGGAAACTAGTTCATGCAAACAGTCATATAAGGTCAGACGGAACTATGCATATTTGAAGCTTACAAAATTTATATTTAGCATACCTGAGGCACCTAAAATCTGTTCTTCAAATTGTAGCAAGAGTAGAATATGGACTGGAGAATATGACATTAATAATAAATTTTGGGCATTTCAATCTTAGAACTTAATTGTAGGTTAAATTTTATGCCATTTGGTATTGATTCAGAAAACACCATTCTTTGTCTTAATTAGTATGCTGTTTTATTTCATCACAATTATGGTAAAATAAAGAAATTGAACACCAGACCATGATATATATAAATGTAGCTGGTTGTCCAGGGTGTGAAGTTTTTAGCAACTAATTGTTTTAAAGACAAGTCAAGACTATGATAAAGTAGTTACAGGATTCCAGCAAAGCAAACATATATATTAATATTGTTATATATAGTGACAAAAACATTACTGGTACACAACGATCTGACTGTATATATGCATACTAGAAGCATAATTATAATAATTCATAATAATTGATCAAATAAGTATTCACTATTTGTAGAAAACAAGTTGGAACTTATATCAGGGCTGAACTGGCTGAAAATAATTTCTTTTAGCCAAATAAGTATGATTCTCAAATTTCTATACGAAATTTTATCAAAATAGCATTACACTGGCAAGAAATATTGTAGCCAAATTAAAACTTGTGTTGTCAAATTAAATTTGTTTTAGAAAATGGTGAAAATAGCTAATAGGAAAGTTAGCTCTGAATATTCAGACCACACATTCGTATTGAAAAAATTTCTCTTGGTTTCTATATATTTGGGATTTGTGCTATAAAGCTGAACATTGTCTTATACATAAACTATGAGGTTATTATATAATTGATACACTAGGTGCCACTCTATAGATCACTGTCATCTGTACAACAGCATAGAAGCTGACTGCTTTTGGATTTGAAGACAGATTTCACCTGCTTCCCATTACCAACAGTGTGTGCTGTCCCATTTTGAGTTTTGGGAGCCATCATCACTTGATTATCTCTGGAAAAATGTGGAAACCTCATTGGTCTGTTGAAAACTGGAACAACATTTAACTTGTTTAAGTTCTTCGGATCCGTACATGGTCCTATTCCAATGGGACATTCCAGGAACAACTTTCCAGAGCAGGTTTTGAACTTAATGGTCATCATAATCACGTATGATAGTTTGACCATTTTTACACCAGACAAGAACGATGGGATGAAATTTGTTTGAGTTGGAACAATAAACTCAAATAGTACCAGATTTTGCGATTTTTCCTTGAACAGAATGCCCTGTGGTTTATCATCATAAATTTGCACAACTGTGAATGTCTGCCGTGGTTTCACAGATGACATTACACGTAATTGAAGGTCACAGGTCAGAGATTTTATTTTATGAGATGTACTACTTGATGTTATGAGTTTGATGCGGATTTCATCTCCTGCTATAAATACAGAACGATCTAGTGCTAGTGTGACTGCCGCAGAATCCATAAAGACAGGGATGCAGTTAACATTAATAAGTTCTGAATGGTTAACAGGTTGCAAGGCCTTTGGTATCATGTTTATATCAAATGAACTTCTCACCATGAAAGGAAATCGTCGTGTGAGAAGAACTTTCACAAAGTCATTTGTGGAGTGTGTACTTCGTAGTGACGAAGAACCCATCTCATCACAGATCCTCGCTTTCACAAGATATCCAATTTCAAAACTAAATCCATTTTCTTTGTTTTCATATTTGATTGTAGAAGGTAAGTTTTCTGGAAGTTTGAATTTGAAACGTGAGACATATTTCCCCGCAGTGATTACAGAATTCCACCTACCATCTGGTGTCCCCATTACATATGAACGTTTACTGACTATGATTTCTTGGGAAGTTTTCTCCCCTTGTGAATCATGCTTTGCAAAGTGAACACTAGCCAGTCCAATAATCAACAGTTCAACAAAACGTATTTCTATGTTAGAAAGAGCTTCTAGAATTATACGTCCAGATAACGTGTCACCTGGGGAATAAGATTCATGGTCTGGTCGATCAAGTTCTATAGCAAACTCACTTATAAAGTACTCCTTTCTATCCACAGCATATGTATTTCTTTTGAAAGTTCCGTCTGGTTTATCCCAAGAGGACACAGCATGTTTTAAGTTTTTGATTACATGTCCAGTATTATGTGCTCGCACTGTTGCGTTATGTCCAAAATGATATCCTTTAACTGTATGAATAGCTCCGTCTCTTGGAATTGCTTTGATGGTTGCCATATGACCTTTTACCCCTTTTACGGTATGATGTTTTCTGTTGATGCGCACTGTAGCGATATGAGATTGTTTGGCTGAAGCTCGGGCAACAGTTTTATTAAAATGCCCTCGATGTGTTCCAGTAACACGTGCCACAGGCTTAACGTGGTTGACGGGATTTGGTGCTAGAGGGAAGTCTGGGTCATCCATCATTTGTGTAAAGCTTCGCACACTGCCATGTACACTTCTCTTTTTGGCTGAACTCTCCCTTGTTGCAATAGCTCTTTCCTTTGTACCAGTTGCATTTTTTGGCTCAGGCACTGTTATATATTTAGCACGAACAAGATCTTGGTAAGAGTTGCTGTTTACCATATACTGCTGTGCACGATTAGGATAATTATCTCTAGCTGTTGACGTGGTAGGTCCCTGCTCACTGCTAACCCATCCAGAATAACCGTCATCATGTTCAAAGTCTTTAGGCCAAAGAGGTTCAATTCCTGCATTTATTTGACCTTCACCAAAGCTTTCAACGTGAACTTCTGGCGACATTCTCCCATCAGGATTGCTTCTAGGGCTTTCAAATCCATAGTCGTCGGAAGACCTTGGCGAGAGTCTTCGCACAGGACGATCTCTTTGTTTCACATACAATCCTTTTGGTTTGCTATACATTATCTCAGTCTCGTCTTATCTTTTCATGAACATGGACGATTCATCAGTGAATAGCAGTAGTTTTATATATCCTGAAATTAAACAAAGAGATGATCTTAATTTATAATTTTGAATGATGGTTGTACAATAGATACTGTGATATCACACTTGTTACAACATTGAATGTCAAATTACTGTATTATAAATGGTTTTGAATCAATGTTGTGAAGGTATTGATTGACAATTTCATGTTGTATGATAATATTGATTGATTCAAAGCTGTGAGAATGTATTTATTTACCAACAGGAAAACAGCTCATGGATGTAAAATCATATAAATCAAATTTTATGCCAACAAAATTATGCCAGACACCTATGATGTACCTAAACATTTTTTTTTCCAAATCAATATGTGATGAATAATTTTTATAATGTAGTTTATAAAAATTATGTAAAAAAGTATTTAGGATGTATTAACGTATCTTGGTTAGTTCAGTTAAAAGTTTTTGAAAGAATGGAAATATGAAAGAGTTTGATTTAAGTTTTATTAAATGCAATGATATATCATTTCTTTCAAACTTTGGAAATATTTGATTTTTTTTTCAGTGAGAATGTTATGAATTTGTTCCTGAAGTAAAAGAAAAGTTTTGTCACCTTGGTAATACTACATGTGTCTATTTCTTAGATAACATGTATGATCAATTCAAGTGTGGCAATTTGAGCCGCGTCATGACAAAACCAACATAATGTGTTTGCGACCAGCATGGATCCAGACCAGCCTGCGCATCCCCGCAGTCTGATCAGGATCCATGCTGTTCGCTTACAAACCCTATAACAAATAGAGAAACTGATAGCGAACAGCATGGATCCTGATCAGACTGGGCGGATGCGCAGGCTTGTCTGGATCCATGCTGGTCGCAAACCCATTATGTTGGTTTTGTCATGACGCGGCTCATTTGTGTTTATAATTAAAATTTTGTTATTTCTATATTGCATTGTATCTGAATATATGTTGAACAATAATACAGCAGATGCCATCAATAAGAAGTGCCGGTACAATACTGTACAAATTTAGCATTCATATGACACAACATTTTTACTTCATGTATGTTGCTTTGTTTAATTACAGCTTAGCCTGTGGAGCATGTGAAATAGAAAGGTGTTGGTAAATGGTGAATGACTTAAAGCCTCTTAATTATTAGATTATTTTTTCCTTTTGTCTACTTAAATTAACTTAAACTTACTTTATATAAATTCAGTAAATTGAAACACATGTATTTTTGTTTTCTTTTGCATGTTTAATTATTTGTAAGATATTTTAATACTTGTTGTTCAGTAATGCTATGACCAAAATTAAATAATGTAGAAAGGCAGTGATCAAGTAGTTTGTTGCATGTAAAATATTAGACATACCTTAATCAATCTGGTACATTAAGTCTTTTGTTGTGCAGATTTAATCACACACATAATAGATATTGATATAAAATGTCAAACATAGGTATTTTAAGTCCAGATTGATAATTTAAATCTCACAGTTTATGATACATTAAAATGCCTTGTAAAAACATCAATTGACAGACAGAAGACAACATCCACTGATCAAGTTAAAACAAAGATCATTAGATTGACACAGCTAAAATAAATATATTGATAAAGGTACCGGCACTGTTATACTATCCTGAAAGTGAAAACAGACTATTATATTGAAGTTGAAACCAATTGCTCAAGCGTGATGCAATAACATTAGAAATTGATACCTGTACAGGATAAGTTTGGGGGTATCAACTTGCATCTGCTAACATTTTCCACCTTAACATTTGTATGTTCTTCTTTATCCAAGCATTTCATTAAATCATATGGGTCAAAGACAATGTTTAAATGCATAGGTTTCTTGTGTAAACAAAAAGTGTATTGGTAAACACCCCAGCTAGTTCTTTTGTGAATATAGGATATGATATTTGACAATAAGATGAATATCAAGTAGAAGCTAATATGTCTGATTTCATTCATTAGGGAAAGATAATAAAAATGAGCTAAAGTGTTTGTAACGGTAGCTCACATTATTTGTTATATACCCCATTCTGTGACATATTCAAATGGAAAAAAAAGACTGTCTGCACAGCCGCCCTGTTAAATGCCTGCGTATTTTAACTTGGACATTTTCAGCCTGCTAAATTTGCTCATACATAACCCTCACAATGAGTGATTCACTCTGGTCAGTGCAATATCGCTACAAAGAGACTAAAACTAATTGAACATTTAAATTTTTGTATGTATTTTGAAAGCTCGGTAAAGTTAGTGTTAAAGTGACTATTAAAATGATTTTTTGTCATATTAGAATTTAAATGTTTATAATATTTTTGTGCGTATTCATCATCAGATCAGCATTTTCATCTAAAATAGCATATATGTACTTTCTTTTAACATTTATTTACAAAGCTGTGTTCATAAAAGCATGGATTTTAATTTTGTAAAGAATGTGTCTAAAAGCTTTCATATTACAAATCAATGTGCTTTACATGATTTTAAAGTACATTCTTCAATTATTGACTAAATTTTATTGATCCTGTTCAAGGACTAAAATATTGATGCTTTTACAGTTAACTGTCATGACATGCTATTGTTGTACTTTATACCAGTATGATCATTCAACAGAACCATTTCATCTTATTTTAGTGGCGATGTTGTTCTTCTTAATGTCCTGAGTAACATTACCGGTACCCAAGTTCAATGCTGATGAGTGAAAATTTAGACTCTACATGTAGTATACTGTGTAAATTTAGAAAATTTCAACTTTGTTCAGAGATTTGTGTGCTTAAAGCACAAACAAAACTTCGAGCATTTCTTTACATTTTTTTTGCAAAGCACTGTTGATAAAGATGTTTTGAGAACAAAATACCTGCTTAAGAATTTGAGGAATAAAAACCCTAAGAGTGATATTTCACAGGGTACTTTACCAAAAAAAACAGCTCTCTTATAGTCAGGCATTTAAATGGCCCTTTGAGCAGTTTCTTTTGTTGCATGTATTTTGTTCTTTTTTGGTAATTATCAGAGGGCTATGGTCACATCTTCTTTTGTTACAGAATGACAGAAAAAAGTTTATTGTTCATCTTTGTTCTTTTTATTATAAAGTCACCCCCTGTTATAAACTTAAATCACTGAATTTATTATCATGTTATATAACATCATTGTTTTGATACAGAATGGGACAGATTTTCAAGATGGAAATCATGCACCAACTCATAGACAGGTGATAATAGTAACTAAAAATCAACAACCATGCATTAGGTCAAGGTCATATCACAAGTGTGAGCCTCTCTTTACAATATTTCATCAAAATTTCATTCTGTGGTGGAGGTATCATGATAATTAACATCTTTATTTATAGAAAGCCATAACTTTTTAAATGATTGTATTAAAAATATGTTTTCAAACTATCATAATATTTTCTGCATGATATATAATTGGTAATGATGGACAAATCCTTTTATTAGATCCATTGGCTTTTAAGTGTTAATGTGGTCGTCTCTATAAACTAGCTGATTTGCAAAGATACCATTAAATATTTTAATATCCCAATTTAAGATATCCCTTACATCCCTTGTATTTATAATGCACAGGTCAATATGTCATAGTTTGGCATCTGAAAAACTATTTTATTGCAACTTGAATTGAAAGTAAACATCAAAGTTAATTTTATTTTCTTTACTATTGGGAAATGTTTCTATTGAAGTGAATTGAATTTTGTTTTCTCTTTTCATGAATGTTGTTTATATAAAACATTTTGACTCTTATTATAGAAAAGATCAAACAGAATTTGAAATAAATGTAATGTTTAAAGAGCTTTGAATGAACAAATGTGTTGAGTAATTGAAAAAAAAAAGAATTTGTTGGGAGTAAAAATTAATATAAACATGTTTTTACAGACACCTTGAATATTAATGTTTTTCTCTCCAATAAAAATGTTTTCCATTGCCTCGAAATGTTTGTATATTTTTCCAATTTCTTAACAGGTTTGCCTTTTATATGAATAGCGGATATTCAGTATGAACATACTTGGCTAAAATACATGTATAGTATGTGGCATTATGTGCAATTGTAGCCAGAAAATTACAAGCCCAACTATTTGACTGATTGTGGCCGAGTCTAACACAATAAGGTTTAATTCGAATATTGTAGTATATTATTAGTAATCTTATTTAAATATTAATAAAAATGTCGTCTTAAAGGTCAGTCCATTAAGCTCCAAAAATGCTAATATTTATTTTAATTTTTATTTTTATAATTCTTGTTGTCCTGTAACATATGTGGAAAATTGTTTTAGCAGATTAAACTGAACCCATCTATTTGATGTGTTATTGTGCCTAAATATGGTGTCAGAATTGATATTGTATACAGTATTAGTGATTGCTTTTTATGGAAAACAAAAAGCATAATTATTGTTATGCACTTTCTGCTACCTTTAAGACTCCATTACTCAATAAAGACTAATATTTTATTCTTAAAAACTTCTTTTACATGATCTGTTATCAGAATAATATCTTGATAGTCTCCTTAATTAACATTACTAAGAACACAATCATTTTTTTGCCATTCTGAAGTAAGGAAAAATATTTAATTACATGCATTATTTGCCTTAGATAAATTTAAATAAAATCTATTTTAAATTTAGTAAACCAGTCATCTCTTATGTACTGATATAGAAACCCTTAGTTGGCTACAAAAATTTCTGTTCTGAATACCAGTATATGTAACTCTTTATTACTGTTGCAATATAATAAAATATGGTTAAATATTTATGAATAATGTCTACATAGTCTAATGATTTAATGTCCTGATTATGTGAGTGAATATTATGTAGCTACTGAGTGAATACTGTTATTTGTAGCTACAAAGTAGTTTGACAATTTTATGATTCTGATGCTATAACTGAGATCTAAAAAGTTAAGCAAATCATGAATTATTTATTAACAGATTATTTTATGATTTTCAGACAGTGTAAATCTTATTTAATAAAGCAGTCCAAAGTTGAAACATCTGGTTAATCAGTCAGATTGTTCACTGTAATGATCAGCTGAAAGACAATAATTCACATTAAAGCTCACTTTGAATCATCAGCTAAGATACATAATTCACCATAATAAAGCACACATGGAAAAATCAACAAAGACACATGATTCACCATAAAACTCACCGGAAATGATCAGCAAAGATCCAGCACAATATTTCACCATAAAGGCATATAATTCAGGATGTTACCAAACATTGGCCATCATATATTGCTAAAATTTTAAGTACTGATTGAGTCATTAGCCACATTCTAAAAGTAGATCAGAACTTAATTATATTTGATGAAGAAGTTATTTTAGTTTGCTTTTTGTCTTTAAAGCTAACATAGCAAGTCTCTCTTTCTACCAAAGATCCTTTCTTCTACCATTCATGACATTGTATGAAGATTTGAAATGTTAAACATTATAAAGCTCTGAGTAATTTATACATCAAACAATGTCTTGTCTTTTGAAAATGTCAAAAAATGTATCTATTGATCAGTATTTACCTGTTCAGGTGTAATTCCCAATAGTAATTAAAGCCTTATAGTGTCTTAGTCCTATGTCTTAAATGGCAATATGTTTCTAAATTTGGCATAGCTCTATTAATACACACATGAATGTTTAATGTACATCAGCGTTCTTTACCCGTATTTGTGTCTGACGTTATCCAATGAATTGCTCGCATGTGAAACTGTGAATTCCTAGTGTAAAAAGATCTTGCTGTGATTCCCACAGGCTTAAGAAGCTTAATTATTAGTTAAATATGGAGTTATTTTGATATAATACGAACAAAACCCGCGATAAACCATTGTACACTTCACAATATTGTTGTGCTATAGCCCACTGTGGCTGGGGAATGTTCTGCATGAAGTATTTTTACGTATTACAATTTTATTGTAAATTGATGGGTCTTTTTAAAGGACATTTATATAACAAAACAATGTTATATATTTCATTACATTTTTGGTTCATTTTAACATACATGACAAAATAGTTTTGTCAGCATAGACTGAATATATTGAATGATAATGCATTATGAAAGACTGACTATTTTATCAGTCTGGTTTTTGTTCTAAAAATGTATCAGTTAAGTCTTTGTGGCGTTTAAGATTATCTGTTATACTTCTTGTTTTAATAGACCTAAAATCTCTGAATTTCATATTGTCTATGTTTTGTAAAGCTTTAGGTAAAAGAATGTATAAGCCAGTGTGGAAAAAAACATATAAAAGTTCAAAGTCCTCAATATTCTCTGAGGTTAGATTAAGCAGCTTATCTTTTTTCATGGTGAATCAAGCACATTGATTTCTGTATACAATGCATGTAAAAATTGATTTATTTATATCTGCTGAGTGTCCAGCTGTAGTTATAATCAGATGAAAGTATTTGTCTATGAGTATGATCAACTTTTTCTCCAAAATTATAGCAGCAAATATCTAATCTATTGTATTTTTATTTTGACAATTTTAGGGAAATGGTACTGTAATTCAAGAAAAATTGTTAATTGACAATAAAAATGATAATATTTATCATTTAAGAGAGATACATGTAGAAATTTTATTCTTGTCAGTGTAACACATCTGTTGTTGTTCTGTTTAAATGTCATGCACCATTTTTAGCTCGACTTTTCTATGAAAAGGGGAGCTATCCTACTCGCCCCGGCGTCGGCGTCGGCGTCGGCGTCGGCGTTGGCGTCACACCTTGGTTAAGTTTTTCGTACCACCCCACTTTATTTCAGAAGTATTACAAGTATGGCTTTGAAACTTACCATACTTGTTCACCATCATAACCTCCATCTACAGACAAGAGTACATAACTCTGTCAAGGTTTTTGACAGAATTATGGCCCTTTTTTGACTTAGAAAGTGTATTGAGCTTGGTTAAGTTTTTTGTACCACCTCACTTTATTTCAAAACCATTGGAGGTATTGCTTTGAAACTGACCATACTTGTTTACCATCACGACCTTCATCAACAGACAAGAGGACATAACTCTGTCAAGGTTTTTGACAGAATTATGCCCCTTTTTGACTTAGAAAATACATTGAATATGGTAAAATCCACTTATTGCCTTAACCCTTTGAGATATTGCTTTAAACTTTTAATGCTATTTCACATCATTACCCCCATCTGTACGCAAGAGAAGGTAACTCTGTCAAGGATTTGTTTTAAAAATTAAGGCCTTTTATCGACTTAGAATCTTGGTTAAGTTTTTAGTACCAGTCCACTTTTTGACTGAACTGTTTGAGATATTAATTTGAAAGTTGGAATACTTGTTTACAATCATGATTCCCAAACATGTCCAGGAGAAGGTAATTCTGTCAAAGATTTTATTTGAATTATGGCCCTTAACTGTCAATGTTTTGTATTATAGGCAAGCACTAAAAAACTTAAAAAATCTAAAAAATTCATTCCTATCCACTTGTTTCACTTTACCATAAATTATGTCATATAAAACATTGCTGTAATATTCAAGGGTATCAAACAACTAGTTCACTTTAAAAATACAGAGATTCTTGTATTGCCTTTTACTGCAAAAACTTTTTTTATTGGCAAGCAATAAAAAAGTCGAGCGCGCTGTCTTACGGACAGCTCTTGTACTATATCCCTTTCACTGCTAAATTGATAGAATGGAGTTGCCATTCGAAATGCTGGTGTTGTTATTTTAAGGTGGTTGAAAATAAAGAAAGCTTAAGTTTTAAAAGTTTGATTAAACTGTACTATAGTGCAGGCTTAGGCTCAGTAAATGATTGCATTATGTTAGGAAAGGGTAAAGTTCCAAGTGCCCATCTCATGCAGAACCATATCTGAGTTTTGTTTTGACTTTTGTTGTGAATTAAAAAGAAAATGCAATAAAACAAAAAACAAGCAACAACAATGAAAAGAACAGTTTTACCTTTCTTTCTCTTACATACTTAAGTGAGGATGGTAACCCTTTAATGCTTTTGGAAGATTTTACTCTGATAAATGAGATTTTTTAAATTGTAATGGCCTCTGTTCATGCAAAAATAGTATTTTATATGAGTGTCTTGTGTAACTCCAAAAGCTAGAGTCATGAAAATTATCTAAGAATATTTGTCTTCTTGTGAAGTTATGCTGTTTGGTAACTTGTAAATTAGCAGAATTATGGCCCCTGATTTATCAAAAATTAACATAATTGGATGTTTGTGAGTTTAACTCCAAATATTAGTATAACTGCTATGTTTCTATGCACAAGTTATATTGTACAGGAGTAATATTGTTAATTTCACATTTTCTAGTTTAATCTCAAAAATGATCCTACATTAGTCGGAAGCCATGATAGATTTGCATACTGGCAGATCTGAAAAACTTACGGTACTAAAAAAAAACCAACATGATCTTTTCTTTTATAATCTCAAATTTATTGTATAGAAATTTGTATGTGAAATTTTTGATATTAGGTTTCATAATAAATTTCAAGTAAGTCACAGTTTAGGTATTACATGAAGATTTTGTTGAGTAATATGGATTAGGATATGTAGTGGGCTTATGTAATGCAAAAGTAAAAGTATTATGACAATATCCCTCTTGTTATTTAAACTCTAAAAATTAATATTGGCTCTTACATAAAACTTAAGTACATGCATAAAAATTTGTATAAAAAGGACCGACTTGTCAAAATAAGAGTTTAATTAAGTAAATCTCGTATGAAGTGTTTTTCGAAATATCGTTTGATGTAGACAAATATTTTATGCATTATATGAAAACACTGTTGGTAATGAACTATTATAGGCTTAAGTTTAATTTTATAGAAGATTTTGATATTCCTGCATAAATTGATATTGAAAAAAATCGTAAAATAATATGATTTAAATTTACTGGATTATATCATTGCGTTTAAAAGATATAATGTTACCATGTACATGTATAAGTTAAAAATAGAATTTATTATATTTTATCTGCATGCTTGATCGAGTCACTTTGAATAATACAAGTCTAATTAAAGATCACATCTCTCATTGTACTGTACATAATATTCACAATTATTCTATACAATGTCATAGATTGTTTAAATAATAAAAATTCAAAACAAAAAAAAGAAAAAAAAAGAAAAAAATAAGAAAAAAATCACAAGTTTACTTACCATTACAATTTTAAAGAAAACTGTCCACCCTTCAACATTTTCCTTTGTTATGTCTGAACATGCATATTTAAATGTCACTGCATGTATAACTAAACTTTGAGTATTTAAGCTTTAAGGATAAAGTCTGTCAGTGAAATATAGAATATTTTTCTGCTGATCTTTTAATCAGATCTGGATAAAGCCCATACATTGTTTGTAGTATACCCCCACATAGCTGAAAGTCTGTTTGTTAAATATATCATTTGATCTTGAATCTCCTCATTTTACTTTCCTTTAATTATCCAAACAATGGCTGACAGTTTACAATAGGTTCTTTAGTTCTCTTGTATTGAACATTGCATTGTTTTGAACAAGAGAAAATCACATATATTGTAATTTCAGATCTATTGGAATTTTGTTTCATGCTGTCTGTTTTAACCTGTAGTATATTTTGGCGGCATTTTGGTTTAGTAGAAAATTAAAATACAGACACACCTGTCTGAGAAGGTATCAATGTTTAGAAAGAAATGTGATATTATAAATATTTTACAGGACAGGTAAACTGTTGCGGCTTTACTCTGACATGTCAAATTTTGTGAAAGTTATAGTTTATCAAACAGGCTTTTAATCATGTAATTATGACAATTAATTGATAATTAGAAAGTTAAGAGATGGTCATTAATTTAATTAAATTGTAATATCTTCTATCATAATTAATTTTACACTTGTCATGAATAATACTTATATGCATGCATTGACAACATCATATGATTATGTTTACTTCCGGTATTATAGGTTTAGTGTCTGTATGTCTGTCTCTGGGCAGACAATTTTTAACCTGATGAGTTTCCAATTCACTTCTTTAGATCACTTTAAATAAAGCTTATGAGATAGTCAGTTTATAGAGTAAAACATAAAATATGATGACTTTTAAATGACCTTGACCTTTAAGGTCAAGTATGTTACACCAATGGATGCATAAAACAATATGTTTTTTTTTGATGTTTGAATTTTTTTGTTAATATTTGTCTCAGATTAATGAACTCCAATAGAACTATAGGCCTCAAATACATTCCTGGATGATTTGAACAGAAGAAATCTGCTAAAAACTTTATGATGAACACAAAAGATTAAAACCAAATTCACCCTCAATTGCTGAATTTGTATTATGGATTTGTTCAGCTTTGAAATTGGAACAGTTTAATTAAAAAATTAAGTGATTTCAGTTAGTAAAATACAAAAATCTGAGCAGTTGTGCAGACTGGCCTGGCATTATACTGGTGGCAAAGGTTTTTCCCACATTTGATTCCTTCAGGATATATATAAGGGTTACAAATCCTTAAAGTTTGCTTTCGTATTCTATCCCATCACATCAATCTTTGAAGCATTGTGTTTTAACCTGTCTGTCAAGTGATATGACGATGTTGCATGTAAGCAATCCTTTAAATTAGATGTGATACTTTATTATCATAAGATTTTTTAAACCATATCATAATATTTATGTGTCCTGCTATAATGTGCTGCCTCTATTCTCAGTCAGGCATTAATTTATTTGTATGTAATACTCTAAACTTAGTTTTTTTTTAAACTATGTGTACATAAATGTTAAATACATTGAAATTTTATTTGTAAATTTTACTAAGTATAAATTAAATATACAACTTGGAACTTACTTCTTTTGAAATAATACTGCTTTTTTCTGATATATGTCAGTAAATTCCATTCAGTTGCAAAATCCCTGTATAAAGCCTTCTATAAACCATAAAGGCTTACAGCCTGGTTTTAATTTAAACACCCAGTATTGCTTTCATCTTTAAAACCAGATTTCTTACATTAGCAATATAGGTATATTGAAAATGGAAAGTTTTGTTCCACTCCACTGATTTTCTTTAATAAAGTCTTTATTTATGTGGTAAACATTACAAATCTAATTTCTTTATGAAACGTTGATAAAAATCTTTTTAGACATTTTTGGGTGACATTTTCCCCAATTTGTTGCTAGTTTTAATGATATATTGTTTCACACCTCATTTTACATTTTAAAAAGCTATACCAGGTTTTTTATTGCTGAAGGGGAATTGTTCAAAAGTTATAGCCAAAAATCTCTTTCATCAAGTTTTATTGCATTAAAAAGAATTTTATCAGTAATCTGAAAAAAAGAATTAATTTGCTCTACCAATTAAATCTGGTAAAGTAGTGAGATTCAGTAATAAGTTTATATATATTTAAATAAAAACATTATTTATAGCTTATTAGCTTATGATTGTTTAGTTCAAAACTGCTTAACATTTAAAAAGGGTGGACAGACAGGTGGGGTCGGGAGCGTTGGGGGAGTGGGGATCTTGCCGATCATTGACTCCATGATATAAAACAAACCCAGCAGGTTTATGGCCTGTAGGTGGTATATACATATGTTTTTTAGCTTATTATCCCCCGCCGAAAAAATTCGGCGGAGGATATAGTAATAGTCTCCGTCCGTCCGTCCGTCCGTCCGTCCGACCTTCCGTCCTTCCGTCCGTCCGTCCTTCCGTCCGAAATTTTTGTCCGGAGCATATCTCTAAAAGTATTTGAGTTATCAACTTGAAACTTCATAGGTGGATAGACCTCATTGAGGAGGAGTGCAGTGCACAAGAATGATAACTCTACCTTGCATGATTTTTGAGTTATTGCCCTTTGTTATTTTTCAAAATTGATTTTTGTCCAGAGCATAACTCCAAAAGCCTATGAGATATTAACATGAAACTTCATAGGTGCATAGATCTCACTCAGGAGGTGTGCAGTGCACAAGAATGATAACTCTTCCTTTCATAACTTTTAAGTTATTGCCCTTTGTTATTTTTCATACCTAATTTTTCACCTGAGTGGAGCATAACTCAAAAAGTGTTTGAGATATCAACATGAAATGTCATAGAAGGATAGATCTTATTGAGGAGAAATGTTGTGTGCAAGAATGATAACTCTTCCCTATACAATTTTTTGAGTTATTGCCCTTTGTTGTTTTTTTCATGCTATTTTGTCCAGAGCTTATCTGAAAAAGTATTTGAGGTATCATCTTGAAACTTCATAGGTGGATGGATCTCATTGAGGAGGAGTGCAGTGCTAAAGAATGATAACTCTGCCCTGCATTATTTTTGAGTTATTGCCCTTTGTTATTTTTCAAAATTAATTTTTGTCCAGGGCATAACTCAAAAAGCCTTTGAGATATCAAAATGAAACTTTACAGGTGCATAGATCTCACTCAGGAGGTGTGCACTGCACAAGAATGATAACTGTACTTTTTATAATTTTTGAGTTATTGCCCTTTGTTATTTTTCATACTTAATTTTTCAATTCAATTTTTTTCTCAAAAAGTATTTGAGGTATCAACTTGAAACTTCATAGGTGGATAGATTTTACTGACAAGGGATGCAGCACACAAGGATGATAACCTACCCTGCATTATTTTTCAGTTATTGCCCTTTGTTATTTTCAGCCATTAGTATTCACATAGGTTTCAAATCTGAAATCACTATAGCCATCAGTTTTCATTACCAAAATGCCTCTTAAAATGGAATTATTCTGCTCTACTACATATACATTCTTCCAATGAGCAAACACATTCGGCGGGGGATGGCCATGTTGACATGGCTCTTGTTATGTTTGATGCTTTTACCTGAAAATTACCATAATTGAATTTTAATGTGAGCATAAACACATTTTAAAATGATTGATATGTGAAATTTACTGCTGTTTGTAAAGGTGATGATTTAAAAAAATGCATTTTTTCTTACTTTTCTTACTGTGCTTATATAATGTTGTCCTTTTAAAATAAACAACACCAAAAAAGCAGACACAGTTCATAATCAATGACTGAATTTCTTACTAGAATGAATAATTTGTATATTGCACTTTATGAAATTTTTAACATTTAATGAATAAATGTAGAATTGGCTTCTATTTTTAGAGTATACATGTATATTTATATCAGTGTCAGATTAGGAAATAGATAAGCATTTATTGAATATGAGCTGGCTATTATAAGGCTTTAAGATATATATAGTTGATTGTCATCATAAGTCTCTTATGCATCTGTCAATTAAAACAAAGTCCTCTCTAATCCCCAATAATAGCAGAGATTATATGACTTGTATTTTCAAACTCCAGGCAAGATGCCAGCCTGCACGGACAGTCATATTGTGAAAGCCCCACAAACTCTGACTCTGCACTGCAGCTTGAACAAAATTCCACTATTGGTTTGATGCCAAAACAAAACCACAGCCCAGCAGTGCCTGGACTAACTGAAGATAAAAATTCAGTTAATTTCCCCCTCTTTCTGGGGGTGGGTAGGGGTGGTTAGTTGTTACAGTGGATAAGTGCATTACTAAACTTTTAAGATTCATTTGTATGAGATGTGTATCATTATACATGTATATGGTATCTTCGGAGATTAACTCCTATTAAATTTCAATTGGCACATATGATGATAATTGTTACAGGCCATTGTATATATATACCGTATATATAAGGCATATATATTTTTTATTGTTAAGAAATTGTTTTGTGTATTTACAGGGAAGAGGAGAATGATGGTCAATTGTTTGTGTGGCAAGGTTATACTGGCAAGGTTGAACTCATTTCCTTCAGGACATTTCTGGCCAAGCCTGTGAGGAGAGTATCTTTAGGGGGAGAGCACTCTCTCATACTGACATATGATGATTGTCTGTTTGCTTGTGGCAGTAACCAACATGGTCAACTTGGTTGTCCAAACCTGGCACGGGAATACTCATTTGATCCTTGCTTGGTGGATGCAGTATGTGGTAGGTTTTTACACCATCTCTCACACTATAATGAACAGAAATACTTGATTAACCCATAACCTGGTGGAACAGATAAGATTTTGTCACCATTATAATAGCCAAGTCAGCTAGCACATTGGTGCATATGCTTTTCTGCACATCAGAGATAATTTAATTCGTTCTTTAGACAGAAATACATGTAAGAGATCCAACTTTGACTAGTCTGTTAGATATCCGTTGCCGCCTAATTATTATAAGAAAGCTGACATCAAATCTGACTTACCGACTGGTTTGAATCCTGTCACGGACTTAAGATTCCATTATGTGATGAAGCTATCCACCTATAGCTTATGGAATGTAGGAGGTTCTTTTCAGGTGCCTGCTGTTGCCTGAAATTATACAGGAAGAGTAAGCACCTGAGATCTGTATAAGCACAATTTTCAAAGTCAAGGACAGATGCTTCAAAATGAGGCTCAGTGATCCCCTATTTTAGTTTTTCCAGTAAAAATATTTTTGTTATATTCTAAGATTCTATATGTAACTGAAGTATACACCTTGAAGTATGTGTCATCTATGTATCATGAATATATTGTTATTGATTAATACACCCACTTTCACTTTAAGTTTTTTTGAATGATGTGCATCAATAATTTAATAAGTTGAGAAGCACATTTACAGACAGCAAACACATAATATTTATGCAAATATTGTGCAGTCATTATAAAAGGAAAAAAATAATGCATTTAAATATTACTCATTTCACACTTGTATGCCTTGATGGCTGTAGATTGTAATTCTAATCAATGTAGTATTTACAGTTTTGAATCACCCTTCTTACTAAGCTCTACAGGTATACATGTTGTATTGTGTTTGTTAATACATGACTGTCAAAGTGAAAAACAATATGTTGAACCCACTCATTCAGTTCAGATATGTGGAGAAGTTGCCAGATACTAGCTATTAGAAACATGTTAGCACAAGATTTATGTTACAGTATTCATTGATGTGATTAAGGCTAATTAATCACTAAACATTGTAATTCTAATTTTTTCTAACATAAGTTTATACAAATTTTTATTTTAGTTTGATTGTGTTGGAAGCTATAAGCTTATTGAACCACTCTCGAATCTGTTCCTGGAACCAACCAGTACTAAGCAATGAATGTAAAGTTTCTTGCTCAAGGAAACAACGGCTTGCCTCTTGACAGGGTTTGAACCCACGTGGTCAGCAATCCTTAGGTTACTAGTCCGACACGTTTAAACCACTCGACCACACCGCCACTCGTTTTCTAACATTGATAAATTTACAAGTTATCTTTCCAGCATAATATGGGTTCAGTAAGACCTCAGAAGACCTTCATACATTATTTCTGGTATTGATGGACATCTATGTAGAATTACACACCTTTTTGTGATAAATTTCATTTCCATAAAATCAACTGAATATTTTCTTTCCATGAAAAAATGTAATCTGTAATTCAAACCTGTTGCTAGAATGTGTGGTAATTGCTGCCCCATGAATCTTAGTTATCTAAGCAGATCTGTCTTGTCATGCAATGTTAAAGCAACTTTTATAAACATGAATGTTGTACCTAATGGGTTATAATCAGTCACCAGTTTTATCTCTCAGATTTTAAAATGATATTTTCATTTTAAGGAGTATTAATCTATTTTTGCTGATGCACTTTTAATTTTACATAAATTTGAATAAAGTCTGTGGCTCATTTAGTCAGTGTAAAACAGTCTTATCTTCCCTTGTATGATAGTAAATCTACAGTTGTTTTGCAGTAAGACCTTTGTAATATTAAGTAAGAAGATTTTGTTAATTTTAGAGCAGACACTATATGACTACTTCAAACATACCTGAATACAAATTCAAGTAGAAATGCAAACATATGTCACACTGTAGACTATATTTCTGTAGTCCAGTGGAATGTATACAAGTACTTCATCAAAATAATTTCCATTTTTTCTTCACAAAATTAATAAAAATTTAAGTGTTGAAACATCATGTAGATAGAATGTATAATATAAATCTTTAGTAAAACATACATTATATTGTTAGTTTAACTTGTCTTATATCCCAGATGATCACAATCATTTTAGTTATAATTTCTTTGTCTTTTATTTTAAAAGATAAAAGATGTTGTTAAATGCTATGAGATATGGGGGCACCTTTATTTACTGGTAAACTGTCATTTAAGGACTAGATAAAAATTTATTGCTTGTACAGAGTCTAATATTACATTGTACAGAAATATGGTTTTTGATAATATGATAATTCTATTGCAATGTTTACCATTGATTGCTTGCTTTTGATTAAATTACTTTGACAATGACTATCTGATGAGGCATCAGCAAATATTTCTGAAATAAGTAAACAAAAATGTAATTTATGCAGACTAATGTATCCCCTTAAAGAAAATGTTTCTTGGAGTGAGTACTAAAAGTATCAATCTTTTAGTATTTAAAGTATTTAACCAATAATCTTGTAGAATACAAATGTTGCATTTTGTTAGTAATTGAAGAACTTTGATAAGAATATTTTAGATATTACTTTATATAAAAGCCTAATTTGAAATTACCAGTATTACTTTCCATGCCAACACATATTCTGTAAAATTAAGTCTACGCTAAGAGTTGTTGTGCATGCACACTTATAGAAATTTCATTTTCTATACATTATACTTTTAACCTTCCAAAATATGTACAATTACTACATTACAACAGCTCAACATGTGCCAATGTTTTGCATTTTAAGTTTATATGAAACTAATATATTTTCAGGCAAAGGTCTTCAGCAAATAAACTGCGGAACCAACCACTCTGCTTGTATAGACAAAGATGGGTCCCTGTATATATGGGGAGATAATCAACATGGACAGTGTGCTAAAGATCCATCAAAGCAAGGGGAAGTACTCTCACCTTCTTGTGTGGAGTTATCTTCCTCTTCAACATGTGAACATGGAGTTAGCTCCCCTGATATGAAAGAAGCAGCTTATAAAGTAGGTTGTGGTGCATCACACGGTTTAGCTCTTGGAGTAGATGGAAATGTTTGGGTGTGGGGACAAGGCCCGCAGTTAGGATTAGGTGATATACAGCATTCATGGAAACCAACAATATTAAAAACATTCAAAGGAAAGAAAGTTATAGACATATGTAGCGGGGAATTTCATAATTCTGTCCTGGTTGCTGATGGAAAACATTCTGAAAGTAAGTCAAAAGAAGTTCAAGATGGGCTAGAAGCAAAAGCAAAAGATTCTATAAGCAATAGTATTACAAGCACATCATGTGTGCAATGTATGAGTCCCCTTAGACTTGATGGTTTAGAAAAGCATAGTAAAAAACTGGATATTGTTTCTGAGAATGGCACTGTTAAGCATAATAAAGAAGATGTGGCAGGTGTAACTGCGGATAAGTCTGAGACAGTGATACAAAGTATGGGACAGTCTAATGAAGGTAAACCAGTGGCTGGGATTAATGTTGATGATGTCTTTGTAAAGTTAGAAGATGACAAGGTACAGACTGATAAAGAGTCTAATGTATTAACTGATAAATTAAAAAGTGAACATAAAGACAGTGAACAAACTGTAATAGAAGGTAAAAAGGTTGTTAGTGGAGAAAAATCACTGGTAGATGCTGAACAAAGTATTTATGATGTTTATGGATCAAATAGTAAAACAGATACAAATGAAAGTAAATCCTCGAGTGATACTGGTAGTGTAGACATAGAAGGTGTAGAGTTAAGGAAAAAATCTAGTATAGAAGAACCAAAAAGTCTAGAGGATATACTTACTGCTAGTATTAAAAGTGATTCATCACATATTTCTAGTTTGTCTAGTAAATCAACCAGGTCAAGAAGTTTCTTAGACGACACTGGAGCAAGGGAATATTTAGCAAGACAATTTCAAGATGAAGATGTTGTAGAAAATTCTAGCATGAAATTGGACAAGAAGAAGTCAGATGATGTTGTCCATTTAACTGCTATGTCAAGTGCTGTACCATCCTCCCCATCATCCCCTGGAGGCTACATGATGCAGACTGTGTCAACATTAACCAGTCATGTAAGCTCTATGACAACTAAAGCTTTAAGTAACATTGCATCAGTACCAGGAAAGTTTCGTTTTTCTGGAGCATCAGCTGGGGCAGAGGATGAGACAAAATCCAGCACAGAAACCCTAGAAGTATCTGAAATTTCTGATCTAGAAACTGGCAGTACTGAAAATATTTCTAGTAATTTAGATAAATCTATTCTAGACTTCAGTAATCTTACAGTTAGTGATACATCTCTAAATGCCAGTCAGCTTTCACTGCCAGAATCAGAAAAGAGTAATGATAGTGCTGGATCACAGGAATCTAGTCCTGTAAAGAAGAAGAAAAACCAGTCTAATAGACTGTCTGTTAGTAAGGAGTCACAGTCTATCAGAACAATTGAAGCCAAACAAGAAAATCTGAGGAAAAGGTCCCTCAGTCTCCTTACACAAGAAGGTATGTACTGCAATTGAAGTGCTGTGAATGATATAATTTTAAAATTAAAGCGGTAAATGATTGTATTAAACCAGTGTTACACAGTTGGGAATCTTTTTACATATCTGGTACCAAACTGTGAGTATGAAGAAGACAACTGTTTTTCCAAAAAGTATAAGAATAAGTCTATGTTAGATAATTGTTTCTGAATAAAAGGAATTGTATGATTTATTTTAGCTATAATATCAGACACCTGTTACTGTACATGATTTATAATTTGCTTCATTGTTCTAACATAATTTTGCCTTTTTCTAGAAAAGCTTAAAGAACATATAACAACAGATGTTTACATGTTGGATACAGAAATATGGACATGGGGTCGTGGAAGCAAAGGTCAACTTGGTCTTGGTGATATGCTGGACAGGTAACTGAAGTTGAATTTTAATTATTTTTCTCAATTTATGTTATTTACTAATAGTATTACATTATTTAGAACTTGCCAATATACATTTTATGAAGAAAGGTGTGAATGAACATACTGCAAAATCATTATTATTTGTAGGGCACTTAATTTCATGGTTTTTCTGGATAAGTCAATTTGTGAGGTCCATCAAAATCTCATTTTACATGGTAATAGAAATTTTTTAGCCTTGTAGATTGATCGCTCTTTGTATATATACACAATATGATATATAATTTTGCTCTCAAATAGGTAAAAATTTTGCCGAAAACGAGCATTATATCAATTAAGCTTTATTTAGAAATGAGACTGAGCTTCAGCACATTTTTAATGTTTAATGTTTATTTACTAATAACTGCTGTTAGTTTTACAAATTCAGACTACTATTGTTACTACACCACCTGTTATGATGAATGTGTCTTTTAAATAAGTACATAAAAAAAAATTTGTTGAAGTCATCAATATCTTTTTAACAATGGTGGTTTCTAGTGTAAAAAGGTATCCCTTTTATGTCCAGACATTAAGTTGAATAATTCAGAAATAAAGGAACTGTTAAAAACTGCGGCAGGACAATAAATTTGTCAACATTGAATTGTTGATTGGAGATAAAAAGTTGTGAACGTCTGAATAATTGATTACAACTTCTCATCCATTTTAATCAATTATCCTACACATATACCTGTATACAATATACAACATGTACACAGCTGTCTCTGTTATAATTAACTCATTCATTATTACATTTACACATAACAAGGTAAATAATTGCTAAAGTTGTATTTGTTTTACATAGAATCTTACATAAATAGAACTCAGTTAAGCATAACCAATAAGTAGATTAAGTACATGACTGAATTTGAATGTATTCATGTACAGTAAAAAAAAATATATGGAAAAACAAAATCCCTACAGGGTGCCTAAAATGGCAAAATAGAAACTATTACAAGCTCGGTTTGATTGAGGCCTGTTCATGAAAGTTAGTGGTAATTGTAAGGTGCTATTGAAGTGGCTAGTAAACTGATACAGTCAGTCTTTCTAGACAAGTGGTCTCTTTAAACAGGTTGATAATTATGTACTATAAGTCAAAACTCAGAATTTCTGAAGTACGTCTTCTAGAGATAAATTTTCTTATGTGATCTCTTGCAACAAGTTTGAGTGTAGTTACAAATGTACATATATGCCATTATTTCATAGAGAAAATAATAATGAAATGTTTTCTTTTATGAATTATATAGATAATACATTTGGAAGTTTTATTGTGACTTAAATTTGAAAATTTCTGTCTAGCATAAACTGTCTTCAGTAGCATTTATTTAACTGTCTATTTAAATGTTGTGTCTATATGGGAAAACAAAGAAAGGCATATGAAAAGTACTATTGTTGCTCCATTTGAGCTTTGTAAATTGTTTTTCATAAATAAACACTTGTTATCTTGGTTTTAAAAGGAACCATAACTGTTTTATTTTTTAAAGATAAATTGTTTAAACATCATTTTTGTATGTATACAGGTGTGAGCCATATTGTATACAGATTTTGAACGGTAGAAGAATTGTCAAACTTGCCTGTGGATCATATCATACTGTAGCATTGTCATCAACAGGGGAGGTAATGTGTGTAATGTTGTGTCAATAAGGGGAAGTAATCACTGACAACCATGTTTATGTAGATTGTTTAATAATTACATGTTCAAATCATAGATTTTTTTCATTAATATGGATGAGATGGAAGACTGATCAGTCTTCGTAGGGTAAACTATTAACTAAATCTTAAAAAAGGAACAGTGAAAGGGAGGTAATCCTGATTGACATTTTATAATTATAAAATTACAAGATAGTATGAAAGTTATGATAATTATTTATTGTTGTGAAATTTTATCTTTCAATGTGAGCTTGTTTTGCACTCTAGACCTACATCAAATGGAACATTATTCTTGAAAAATTACTATGTCAAAATTCCTTAAGTCCCCTTAATATCATAATAAAGAAGAAAATATAATAGAAACACTATCTCACAATTGAAATAAAGAAATGAATGTGTTTTATATGTATTTCTGTAGGTGTATTCCTGGGGACAGAATGACTTTGGTCAGCTTGGACATGCTGAAATAGTTTGTTCCCCTGCAAGGATAGAGGTTAGTTTATATCAAATGAACTGAAGCAGTACTCTGATAAATGTTTGGGGACTACTGACATGCTATTTCTTATTTTTACCAAACTTTATTAGAATACATTGAAAACGTTCTACTGGGAAAGAAAATATATTGCTTAAAAACTTACTCTAAGATAAAATACACTGAAAACTCTCAGCAGTCATCTTTTATAATGCAGTTTATCTTCTTCACAGTTACAAGCCACTTAACTTTGTGGTCCAATAAAGTTAAAAGTTCCAGCTCAGGTGGTCACTATACTTTTTAAACGCCCAAAAAAATTTCTTTGGTGTATATTGTTATGCACCTGATTGTCTGTCTGTACATCCACACTACTGAATAAAAATAAATGGGCATCAAACTGTAAACAGAACAAAAGAGAACTGAGTTCATTCTGTAACAATAGAGAAAGGGCTGACGTCATCAAGGATATATTATTAAGAGGGCAGCTGACATTTATCCAAGAAGGAATAGATTTATGTTATGTATAATAAAATTGTTTAAAATTTTTGTTTACATAGTTACAGTTTTATAATACATGACTGTAAATTATTTGTTGGTACAGTTACCATCAGATTGTTGTGTATGGTCAGTTGATGCTGGCAGTAATCATACAGTATTCCTCGTGGACAACGCCAACACCCAGTCTACCAGACCAGATGTCTTCTATACTGGCAAACACCCATGGTAGTTTTATAGTTATTATCTGTTGTATGTAATGATTATTATTTTATATAGATTTATACAAGTTGACATAGACTGAAAATGGGATTTGTAGTTTATCTTAGGGTATTATATTTGCAGATAGGTATAAACATACAACTTTGTCTTAAAAGATCTCTAAATATGTACATGTATGTTTCTAGATATACAACTTATACATTTAAATGTCCAATGAAAGGATTTTATTTGAAGAAAATTTGTAAGAGATTCCCTTTTGTTTTGTCTTAATGGAAGACTTTAGTAGTTAAAGTGAACATTTACACCAACATTTTTTAAAGAGATTCTTATAAAGTTTTACATACAATTTATTCAAAGAAGTAACAGAAAAGTGCATGATGTTACAATCTGAACTTTATTTGGTTATGATTTATAATTATGAAATAATTTAAAACAATGACAAATTGAATTAATTTTATTAACACTGGTAAGACACAGTGTATTCAAACAGTGAATGTTGAAGTAAAATTGAACACCTCTTATTCCATGAAACACAGAATTTATGATATTATTTATTTACAATTTCAGCAAAGACCTGTATGTTCCTATATACAAGACTGCAAAGTTAACTCCCTTGAAATTTCTGAAAAAGGTAAGGGTGGAAGAGTAGTCTCCCTTCTATTTTTAAAATATTTTTCCAAGTGAAACAATTAAAAAAGTATGTTACAGCTTTGGAAGTAATTTCTGATATAATGCTAGGATAAATACTTACAGCGAGGGTTGATTGGAAAAAAACACCTACCTGGTAATATGTATAATTTAATATAATAAGAAATATTTCTTTACAAATAAAAAGTTAAGATAGTTTATAGGGCTGCTCATAATATTTTGATGCTCACATTTAAACTTGAAAATTGAGTATATATATTTGTTCCACTTTGGAGATCACTGAAGTATACTTCTAAGGTAAGTGTTCATTTAGGAAGTGTATCTTGACTTACTTTGTGTATGTAAAACAAACATGTCTGAACTATTGTGAAAAGCTTAATGTGGACTGTTTTGAATCTCTTTCTAATAAAGTTAAACCAGACTGATATGGGAGTGCCAAGATTTTTTCTCAAAAATTTATTTTTTTATTTTTGGTGTACTTTTATAGTTTCCAAAAAGTTACTCATTGACCAATTACCTAAACCATCTTTTTCCTCTGTCACATTTTAGCAATTAGTACAGTTATAATGATTTAGTATTTTGCATGGAAGTAAAAATACTAATTTGTTTACATTTTGCTATTTTTGTGAAAAATTCATTCACATTTAGTGCTACTTTTTCAAGTAACAAACATCTAATATACTCTTTAACTATTATTGAAATGTTATAAATTTAATTTTTACCATTTTTAAACAAGAGAAATTTTATTCATTTCTGAGGCATGATGTGTCTTTAAATATGATCTTGCTAATTTAATTATCTATATATAGGCTGGCTGGATATGTTGTGTAACTACAGGGGGAGATAACTGTGCCTGTATATCTAGACAAGAGACAGACATGACACTGGCATTGTTTGAAGTTACACGATTTGTGAGAGATTTACACAGACATCTTCAACAAATTACACAAGATGTCGTCAAGAGAATCCAAATATCTGGTATAGTTCATCTGTATAGTAAATGTTTAAATTGACCAGAACAAGAATTCTAGAAGTTCAATTGTATATTCCATTTAATTAAGTTATAAGAAATTAATGTTTCAGAAAACCATAGAATATTTAATTCAAGGGAGACTATCTATTTGTCTCACCGTAAATTATTCATTCTTTTTGTAGTTAATAGAAGGGAAACAAATCTAACAAAGTGCTGTTTCAACTGAAAAAATAAACTTTTAGAAAAAAGGGTAATAAAAATGCAATTTTGAGAAAATCTTGTGTTTTAATATGTTTGAAATGATATTGAATTACATGTTGTATTTTTCTTCTTCCAGGATTTTTCACAACACTAGAAGTACAGCCATACAAAAATATGATAGAGGAGTTATTATTGTCTTTCACTGAACTATCAGCTAAGGTACACTCTTATTGTCGCAATAGTTCTTGTGATATATATATATATATATTTTACAGCATTATAAGTAACTTTTTTTACCTACATGATGTAAAACAATAGGGATACAAATGTAGATGTGCATATGTTTTCTTTTTTCATACATTTAGTGAATATTTGCTCCTTAAATACCATAATTGACTTAATTCAAAGTAAAATATAATAGTTTTGTTACTTGTTTCAGAAGTAAAATACAATGGTTTTGTGACTTATTTCAGAAGTAAAGTACAATAGTTCTGTGACTTACTTCATAAGTAAAATACAATAATTTTGTGTCCTATTTCAGAAGTAAAATGCGATAGATTTGAGACTTATTTCAGAAGAAAAATGCAATAGTTTTGCGACTTATCTCAGAAGAAATATGCAATAGTTTTGCGACTTATCTCAGAAGAAATATGCAATAGTTTTGCGACTTATTTCAGAAATAAAATACAACAGTTTTGTGACTTATTATTATGAAATACTATTCTGTATATTTAATACAGACATAGAATAGGTAAACTTTTAAAAAGATAAAAATGTAAGCATCATGACAAAAATTAGTACATGCAGATAACACAAATTGATAACATGGTGCATTCAATCTTTACATAATGTTTATATATATATAATATAGTAAAGATGACATTTATCTGTGGTTTTCAGCTAGGAAGTTATGGAGCTGAACTTACAGACAAGTTATGTATTGGAGACAGTATTCTGAATGCCTCCATGTTTGTATTATATGATGAATTTGTGTCAGAACTGAAGAAATATTCTACTGCTTTTGAAGATATGGTAGCTGCTGGTGGGTTTGAATACTGTGTCAAAAATGCCAGGTACATTAGATTATTAACCTTTAGTCTGCTGGTGGCAAACAGAATCTATCCATGTCAGCAGTACAGACCAAGATCAACCGGCATGACTGTGCCATCTGATCTTAGTGAGCACTGTTAGCAATTTACTCAGTAAATGTTTCGAATTATAACTTTTCTTTGTAAAATTGAAGATTTGTTTTTAACAGATTGAAAGATGGACATGTACATTTAAGATATTTAGTCTGGTATCGGTTCAGTTTGTTCTTTCATTCCTTTAGATTTATAATTTATATTTGTAGGAACAATATGAATAATGTTTAATGCAGATGTTGGATGTTAAAAATGTATTGTAATCATGTAGTTTAATAGTTGATTACCTCATCAATGTTTCAACAAAGTATACAAATTCAAATTTACACATTAGTAAAAACATCCCCACTCTATACAGAGTTTTTAAAGATCAAAGACATTGTGTTCATATTTTAATGCAATTCAAAAGAACAATATTTATATGATGAATGTTAGATTACCCCTTCTGACCTTCAAAGTCATAAAAAAATTTAAAATAATAATAAAACAAAGAATTCATTAGGTGGTTGTATAGTTCTAATCATACTTCTATTATTATTTGTATTTACAGTTCATTGTTTGAAGTATTACAAGAGTTTTACAAAGATTTACTGAAGTCCAACCAGATAGAGTCCAAGCCAAATCATGCCAACAAATTTAGAGAGATCATGTCTATACCTCTAAAACAGATCAAAGAAATGTCAGGGATCATCTTAAAATTCTCTGACCTGTTCAAAAAGGTGAAATGTTTATTTTTTTTTTTAAGAGATGTATTGAAAAAAAAAACACATTGTAACTTGTAGTGAAGTCTTATATTTTTAATTAAGTTAAGTATGGCACAATCCTTTAAGCATTTATGCAAGGATCTTTGGAAAATTGTTCCTAAATTTTAACTTCACTGTAAATGGCAATGTTATAGCATTTAGTAATCTATTATCTCGGTTTATTTACTTCATCATTCTTTTATTAAAACTATGCTCCTTGAATGACTTTTATTTATGAAGTAAAATTCAATAATTGGCTTATTACTCAATAATTTCCTAGAAATACTGACACAATTGACCAGTGAATCAATTATATTTTATTTTGCATAACCTGAAAAATATCTTTTGGCCTTTTCTGTTATTTTGTTAAATTTTTAGTGTAAGGGAGACAACTCATTTTTTGTAGAAACTGGACTTTTTACATATAGTACTGGCAGTTACATTTCCCTACTGTTTTATATTATTTCTAAATTTTTTTTTTTGGTTATCTACATATAATTTACATTTCATATTAGAAATATTTCCCTTAATACGAGTATATAATGACAATTCATATTTAAGTAACATATCAAACTATTAACATCACTCACCATGAAATATGTATTTATTTTTTCAGCAAAGTAAAGAATGTAACTTATTGTCTAGTGTACATTTAAATCTGGAACATTTTGTAAGGATGTCCCAGACTGCTATATCAGATGCTGATAATACTCGCATGTTCTGGGAGAGTTCTGCTACCAAAATATCTGTAAGTGTGAAAACTTATTTCATGGAATTTTGACAAACATAAAAATTCCAACAACAACACATATTTTGTCTTCAACATTTATTTTGCTTTTCTTTACAGTTAAAACTATAACAGAATACAATGTATGTGACGTCAAATAAATGACATAATACCATATTGCAACAAAATGAAACATAATATTTATATTTAAAAAATTGTAAAAATGTTTTAAAACATGTCATGCTTAAGGTTATTTGATATAAAAGTTCCCTATACTTGAAAAATATAAATTTTTGGTTAAATTTTTTGTTATTGTAGTATTGAGTAAGACGTTTACTATTTACAAATGTGTAATGTCAAAATTAGATACTTATTTTGCCATGTTAGATTAGTGGTACAGTATAATGGATTGAATGGGTTGTAGACAGGACTGATTTTGAGAATTTGGCCCTCTATAAGATGCAAGAGGCATTTTGTAGTACAAGTGGTATCTTGGTGTATTCTACCTATCTAAGGTATGCTGAATCCAATAAAGGTGGATACCAAATTGAAAAACTTGATCTTGACCATTGCAATGGCCATTTAAAATGACCACTAAAATGGCCGCCAAATTTCTTTATCATTAATGGATGATAGATCAAATAAAACTTTTACGGAAAGGAACAGCCTGAAATTTGTCACAAAGCAAGTTTAGGTAAAAACAAATTAGACACCAAAACAGAATTAAAAAAAAAAAACAATCCAATATGGCCGAAAAATCCAAGATGGCATACATTTTTCTATAGGATAAGATAATAGTAATAGAAGTAATATTAAAGATAGTATTGAAATTTTTAAGGCATTTAAACATATTTAGGGGTTTACGAAGCGAACACTACACTCTTTCCTGTCCTATCTGCTAGATTTTATCTGGCACTCTATGCAAGCATATAGAGTGGCTACTCAGATGCCTACTTATATTATATTTACAGCGTAAATATGTGTGAGGGTGTTAAAACGTGTGCATGCAAAATATACATTAATTAAAGGCACCTTTTTCTGAATACTCTTGGGTTTTGGTGTTCGTTTTTCTGTAATCGGTCATCGTCTTCCGGTCGTCGTCTTCGTTCTTTTGTTATTGGTTCTCGTCGCATTTCTCTGCTGTCAGATCTTCTGTTATTTGTCGTCACTTTCGTTCTTCTGTAATCGGTCCTCGTCTCAGTTATTTTGTTGTTAGATGTTCTGTTATCGGTCGTCGTCTTCGTTCTTCTGTTATCGGTCCTCGTCTCAGTTCTTTTGTTGTTAGATGTTCTGTTATCGGTCGTCGTCTTCGTTCTTCTGTTATCGGTCCTCGTCTCAGTTCTTTTGTTGTTAGATGTTCTGTTATCGGTGCTCGTCTTCGTTCTTCTCCGTTCTTTAATATTCTCTATTCTTCTGTAATCAGGCCTGGTCTCCGTTTTCTTGTTGTCATCGGTTTCCGTCCCTGTTATTGATCCCCGTCTTCATTCTTCTGTCATCTGTCTATGTTATTGTGTTATCAATCTGCGTCTCGTTGTCTTGTTGTCAGTTCTTCTGTTATCGGTTCTCGTCTTTGTTCTTCTCCGTTCTTCTGTCATCGGTTCTCGTCCCTTTTCTTCTTTAGTCAGTCCTGGTCTCCGTTTTTCATGTTGTCATCAAGTTCTATGTTATTTTGTTATCGGTCCTCGTCCTATTTTTCTGTTATCAATCTTCGTCTGCTCCCGTCTCTGTTCTCGACCCCCCTTTCTCTGTTCTTCTGTTAGCGGTCCTCGTCTCCGTTCGCTTGTTGTCAGTTCTTGTCTCCGTTCTTCTTTTTGTTAACGGTCTTATCAGGTAATGCTGTAATGTCGGTCGTCGTCTTCGGTCTTGTACTTTCGGTACTTGTTTCCTGCTCCGTTAAGGTCTTCTCTTATTTCTATCGTTGCCGTCATTATGTGTCTATGTCCTGGTTTTTGCAGTCTTGTAGTCATTTATTCGTTTAGTGGAGTAGCGGGGGATCGAACTCACGACCCCTTGATTTGTAGGCAGACAGTGTTACCACTGCACCATTGCGCCCGCTCTGAATAATAACCATTTTTGAAAATCCTTTATACATAAAATACTATTTCAATGGCTAACAAAAGGTGTATTACAATTATATTTTAACACCTCTACTATGTAGCCAACCCACGTGACTTTTATATATGGTCTCCATTTTTTACAAGTAATATTTGTATAGATAACTTTGCTATTACTTTAAGATATCCTAGAAATTTATTGGAGGGTACCCGGAATGATGTCATAATCTTTTTGTAGAATTTTCTCCAAACCGTGACTGAATTCCAAAATTTTCGAGAGCTGCCACACGTAACAATCTCCCGGTTTCAGACATTTTATGACTCGATGAATATATGGTGTTGTTATTGTTGTTGTTGTTATAACTTTAAATTTCAAATTAAATAGTCACTTATTTTTAAACAAGATGGTAAACTTAAATATGCCCAAATGTCACCAACAGCAGTTTTGCATGTGGAAGGAATGTATTTCTCAGACTGTAAAAATGAAACAAACAAAAAATTAAGAGACGATATTTTGTGATTGGTAATTTAGATGAATAGAAGTAAGTTTTCTTCTTTTTATTACTTTTGACATTTAAGTTATTTATCAATTTCAACTTTGCTTTTCTCGAAACAGCCTGACATTGTCAGAATTGTCAGCAAAAATAAAATTGAGGTACCACATGGGGAAAATCTTAAGAAAGTAATTTCGTCATTGAAAAGTGTGAAATTATATTTTAATAATTTTCACTGTGAATTTATCAAATATAATTTTCACGGATAAATCAGTAATCCACTGAAAAGCATAAAATAAAAAAAAACCTGCTCATACCTGCTAAAAATGTAAACATTGTTACTTCCGCAGTAGCACAGCCGGTTAAGTGATTGACTGATGTGTGAGAGGTCTATGGTTCGATTCCTACTGTTGCCATTTTTAAAGACCTGGTTTTTTTTTGTTATTTTTTAGTGGTGGGGGCGCAATATATATTTTAAAACACTTGTCTCGGTTTGTGTTGTGTTTATGGCATTGAAATGACACTTTTTTGACATTTCAAAATAATTTTTAAATACTCATTTTAAACCATAAATACCATAATAACTGCAAAATATATGAAAACAAAATGAACAACTTAAAAAAAATCATAGCTACAAATAATGTTGAAAATTACGGAACACCTGAAGTGACATTTTCCAAACTTTCTCCCGGAATTGAATTCGTTTTTACGAGATAATAACTCCCAATTAGAAATATTATTTCGTTTTAACGAAATATAAAATCTTAATTACGAAAATATTGATTCGTTATTTCGAAATATTATTTCGTTATTACAAAATATTAATTTGTTATTGCGAAATATTTAAAACAGTAAATATAGTATAAAACAGTACTGTACATGTAATATACTGTTAATTGAGCCATTAGGCTTACATTCGCTATATTTGGTGGCCAATCTCATTAAAATCTGATCATATTGAATAATCATTTGATTTTGACAATAATAATTAATTGCATCATATTGTATCATAGTTTTAATGACCTATTTTAGTATTTTTAAGCGACCATTTTGAATTGACCTTTTGGAGGTCAAGGTCAATTTTATTTTCTTGGTATCCACCCTCATCGTCTTCAGCATACCCATATTAGGTTAAAACACTCAAGATATTACTTGTACTATAAAATGCCTCTAGCATTCATATTTTCTTAAAATCAGTCCTGTCTATTGTCAACTTTCCTTCTTTCAGATTTTAATTTATATTAGAATAAAAAATTAGTCAAGAAACAGAGCAAGCTGAATTATATATAACTATTGATGTTATTTATAAATTTATGTTTTATTTACAAATATCAGGAAAGTTTGAAGAGTCCAGCCAGAAGGTTAATTAAGGAGAGCAGATCTTGTCCTCTATCACTGATTAATGCTGGCAGATTTTCTACACATGTATTCTATCTCTTCAATGATTTATTCATTCATGCACAGGTAAGTTAATATATTTGTTGTGTAGGGCATATAATGTGGATACTTTTATTCAGCTGTTACTACTTAAGGGTAGGTTTTCCCTCGTCAGTCCATCCTGCTGTTTCATGTCCGTCAGTAGACTGACAATATGGTGAAATGTGGGGCCATCCCTGTCCTGACACAACGATTTAAAACAGTTAAATCTTAAAGATGATTTTACAAATATACAGGGAGTCTTTGTGACCAAGTTGTTAGTGTTGTTAACTTTAAATCATTTGCCCTCTCCACTGTGGACTCAAATATCCTGCAATGGACTTGAGATTTTTTCATGTCAGGAAGCTTTTTAACTGACATAAGGTCAGTGATTCTACTCAAATGCTGGCTTGTTTAATATTAATGCATGGAGGGGCACTGATGTCTTTCTTCACCAATTAAGTTTGAAAGTTGCCATTTGACCTCTACTCAGTGTTTTGTCCCACAACAACCCCCAAAAAGTGGGAAAGAAGTTAATGAAAGTTTAATACATGTATTATTAATATGCTTGAGTTTGAGTTTGATTTGAGTTTCTACTTGGCTGTAGTCTTAGAGTTGTTTCATTTTCATACTAATAGGTTAGTAGGTCTATTTGTCAAGAAAACATATTAATAATGGTCAGGAACATAAATTTATTGAGATATATTTGTGTTTTTCTTCACATAAGATTATGTTACAATGTTTACCATATATCATAAATAGACTCACTATATATGAATCAGATATAGTTATGAATTTAATGTTACAGTACTCAGCCTACCAGTCATATCCTCTAGAGACAGTTTGGATTGATTTACCTTCCTCTGACTCCTCCAGCCAGCAGTAAGTAACTATACTTGTCTATATCTACATCATACATTGTTCTCAATATGGACTGATTTGATTAAAATTGAAAAAGTTACTAGGTTACTTTTTAGCCCTCAGTGACTCAAAGATTAAGAGCAATTACTTCAAAATAAAAGCTGTCAATAGCAGAAGTTGTGTGTACCGTTAGGTATATTGGATATTTTTTTAAGTAGATGGTATCCATCGACCTTGTTTAAATTCAAGGATTTCACCTAGGGTTCACTGTTGTGCCTGAAATAATGTAGGCTAGATATTTGGGGTCCTCCTACTCCAGTATTAGATTTGAAGTATCAGTATTGATGAACAAATAGAAATAATAAAAAAGGAACATTATATATACTTTATTGGTATATGATTCTCTTCTATGTATCATATGGGATACAATATACGAGTAAGTATATCACATTTACTTTGAAATGAGAGACATTTTTATGATTTATGATTAGTTTTGGTTTGAAATATTGTTATTTGTGTCATCAATATTATTACGAAAAAGATAATTTAGGAAAATAATTACTTTTCAAAAGAATAGCAAAAATTACATTTTTGTTAAGAGCTTAATAATTACGATAATGTTCCAGCCTGTATTGTATATTGCAGGAATGTTATAACTGTCACGACACCTGAAGATGTACTCACTTTGACCACACCCACTTCACAGATTAAGGTAAATGTTTATTTTACTGACATTCTTGGTTAAGAGAATGGGGTGAAAAATTTGCAAAATTCAGTTTTGTCATCTTTTATAATTAAAAAATATACATTGGAGAAAATGCCTTTGAAACACTGCAAAATTTTATGGAGGGCGTTCGTTGCCAAAATTCCAGACATGTAAAGTGTTCCTTTTTAAATTGACTTTTGAAAATGCGAACTTGTATGCCTACCATTTTTTATTGTACCCGTGCATTGCACATAATATGCCTCTTAATTCAATCTTTTAATTGAAGATTCCCGCCTTTATATAACAAGTTTACATATATATCGTAACAACTGACCTAACATCTAAAACGACAACAAATTTACAAGTTTTTATCTTCCATTGCATGCAATACATATGCATGTTTGCACACTTATATATCTGAAATATACAAATGAAATGTAAATCTTAAATACAGAAAATAGAGTTTAAGAAAACGTGTTACCAGTTGTAGAACTACAAGAGTACGTTAACACAGTAACATGTTTAAGATGACAAAAGTAGATTCACAGAGTTAAACGATTTTAAGTCAAGCATAACGCTCCGCCCCTCTCGGAGTATTTACGAACTTCTATTGCGGACAGGTATAAAACGGCGCCCCTCCCATATTTCTAAATAAAACTGAAGGACAACATACGGCATTTTTCATAACATATATTTGTTTATTTATTACAAAAGTTTTGTCACTAGCAACATCACTTGAAAATTGCTGATTTTACCATTTATGATGAAAATAACTTATGCATTAACTTATTATTTAACATCGTGTTACAAATTATTTATCATTTTAGTGATTAGCCTGTCCGTGCTCTGCCTAGTGCCCTGTCCTATGTTTTGTTTGGGGTCCGCCTGGGTTCCTTGCCACTTGTTCTTGTTGCTTGGTCATATGGGGTTGCGTTCATTGAGCGCCGCCTTTCCTTGTTTATCTTATTTATCATATATTCCTGAGAAACATCGGCGATTTGGAAATTTTTAAGGGAAACAATGACCAACTTCAAGGGAGTAATTTTATTGATAATCTAAAAACCATCCAATACTTTTATTGGTATCATTGAAAAATGTGTTGGCACAAATTTCATTTTCAACAAAAACTATGCAAGTATTTGCAAAAATAGGATTTTAAAGCGGCCACCGAGATTTCCTTTCCGAAATCAAGAAAATACTTATCCGTAGCACATATGTACAATCTTTAATAAGGTATTTTCAGTATGAATTAAAACTTTTTGTACTTGTTCATTATCCCTCATGTACAGACTCAAGCAGACCGAGTCTGCAATTCTTATGTAATTTTGTTGTGATTAATGCTTCAGAGGGATCACTTTTTTCCAGATTTTTATACTTCACAACAGCAGGTGTCAATTGCCTTGTGGCAGCTATAAAAAGTTGCCCCGTACTTCACTTCATTGTTGTTATATTTTTCTGGTCCTTCGGGATCATTGATGCCAGCGCTATTAAGTTTTGAGAATTGAGTACCGTTCAAGCCGGTGCTAGGAGGCGTGAGGGATGTTGCACTTGTTCATTATCCCTCATGTACAGACTCAATCAAACCGAGTCTGCAATTCTTATGTAATTTTGTTGTGATTAAAGCTTCCGAGGGATCACTTTGTTTCCAGATTTTAATATACTTGGACAAAGCTTATGGTCTTAACTTTCAGTCACTATTCATTTTCATTTTTGAATAAAGTATCTAAAGGAAGCGACGTGATTTTTTCCCGAATATATAAGTGTGGTTTTAAGAGAGAAAAAATAAACAACGATAAGTTTGAAACAAAATTTTTAATACTTCTACGTAATTAATTTTCATTTTTAAGGCATCACTAGAAAGTTCATAAAGGATTCTTTTACTTGAGTCTAAAATTATCAAAAGTGACCAAGAAATAAAAAAAATAAGTAGGGGGTGCCATTTTTCTCTTAACTGAATTTCAGACTGTGTTTTGTTTTTTTACTTGGGGAACATGCTGTTTTTCATGGTATGGCACTTACGTGTCACATTGAAGGTTCCATGATAATCGCCATATTAACACATCTGTGGATGTTTTGTACCAGTTCATGTTGAATATTGCTTTAGCCGGTGCTAGGGGGCGTGGACGGTAACTTGCTCTTTCCATTACCGTCCATGAACAGGCTCAATCAAACCGAGCCTGCAACATTCTCAATTTTGTCGTGTTGAGCGTTCTTTAGGGATTCTTATTTTCTCTATTTTACAGAAAGTAACATGATAAACTTTTAAACGAAAAGTTAATTCATTTTGATTTAATTCATTTTTATTTTTAGGCTTTATATAATTATATACATGTATCATAAATTGTATGAAGCACACTTTAATTTCAATAAAAATTATCAAAATTGATTACGAAATAAAAGAAAGGTTTGGAGGGAACGCCGTGTTTTTCTTACCAATTCGAGAGTAAAATAAACAAAAATTCCAATACATCTATTTAATTCGTTTTTATTTCCGAGGCACTCATAGAAAGCTTATGGAGTAATCTTTCATTTGATACCAAAAATATTTGACTTTTTATAGAAATAAAAAAAGTTAGAATGGACGCCGCGTTTTCCTTCACTTTATTGAGAAATAGGAGAGAGGCGACGGGTATTATACCTGTCCGTACATTTCTGTAATAGAAGATCGTAAATACTCCGAGAGGGGCGGGGCGTCATGCATGACTTAAAATCGTTTAACTTTGTGAATGTACTTTTATCATTTTAAACATGTTACTGTGTAAACGTACTGTTGTAGTTCTACGACTGGAAACACGTTTTATTAAAATATATTTTCTGTATTCGAGTTTTACATTTCATTTGTATTTTTCAGGTACAGATATATATCTACAAGTGTGTTAACATGCTTATGTATTATATGCAATGGAAGATACGAACTTGTAAATTTGTTGTTGTTCTCCATGTTAGGTCAGTTGTTAAGATTTAGATGTAAACTTGTGATTTAAAAGCGGGTGTCTTCAATTAAGATTGGATTAAGAGGCATATCATTTGCTGTGCACGAATACAATCTAAAATGCTAGACATACATGTTCGCATTTTCAAAAGTAGTTTTCCAAAGGAACACATTACATGTCTGGAATTTTGACAACGATCGCCCTCCATAAAATTTAGGTAAAATAAAACAATTTATGTAAGATGAAAACAGCATGGTTTTACAACAATGGTATGGGAAAAAAAAACAACACAATGTGAAATGTTCCTGTTTCAGACAGAATGGGTTGTAGCATTTAACACTGCTATAAACAAAGTTCTAGCGAGCCAGAAGTCTGTGAACAGACAGAATAGTGGTGAGCGTGTACATACACCAGTTATCAGGCTAGCTCGTCACACCTTTACTAAACATGCTCTATACAGGGATGGAAACTATAGAGGGTACTGGTTAAATGGGAAAGTTCATGGATCGTAAGTCAAATATTTTTTTAGCGTAGGTACCTAGTACAGTATATGATTATCATTATTATGAGTGTAATTTCAATACCTTCACATGTATATTTAGATTTTTGTACAGAAAATTGCAAATTTCAGTTTGGGTTCTATTTTTCAACAGTATATGTATTTAAGTAAAATGATAATTTGTCTGTACCTTATTAGAATTTTCTGAGTGACTTTGACATTTTATTTTCAATCAAACCATGGAAGTACTTGTATCCTTCATCAGACTACATATATCTAATACAATGACAGTACCACTAACAAGCGGGCTAGAAATTGTTACATATTATGTTGCCCCACTAACAAAGAATTTTCTTGTTAATTTAAAGACCAAATAAAATGTGTATTTTAGTACTTTAAACTAGGAAGTGGGAATCGGGTATACTATTCAAACTGTCATTATCATATTTATTTATTTGCTTCAGTGGATTAATGAAATGGCCAGATGGGAGAAAATACAGAGGTAAATTCAAGCATGGAAGCATTACTGGGTATGTTTGTTTTTCAATAAACAACTGTTGTTCTTACATATTCTGTGTTACTATGTTCCATTAATGGTATTCTTTATGTTCTACAATTAGGTTTGCTGAAATCTTTGAAAAAGCTGTAAAACAGAAAATGGTTAAAAGAAGTGATATCCTTGATCTATTTAGTGGCACTTTTATGAAAGACACACTTTTTTACCTGAACAATTTGAAACATTTCTTCTCTCACTTTAATATTAAGTGGTAATTCTTTTGTCTTGAAACTGTCGTGGCTAGATAGGTTTTAGCTCATAAAACACTTAACAGTATTGTCAAGGTCTGAATTGTAAATATTACAGTCTAATATTTGATACAATTTAGAAGGGAGTTCCTATAATAAAATAGGTACTTATTTATTTATTTTCCTTTAAATTGAAATATTTTTTTTTTTTATTGATGAGTTATTTATCATTGTTGTTTATAGGACAGGTAAGATGGTTGTACCGAGGGACAATGATACAGAGGAAGTCCAGGAAGGTGTGTGGAAAGATGGAAAACTTCATGGACATGGAAAAATCAAGTATGATTGATATTTAGGATTATTATATTGCAAAATATATAAATATTACTTTATATTGGATCTGCTTTTAAGATGTTTTACCTGATAAAAAACTAAATTTTGTTTATTATATCAGTTATTTCATTAATTAGATAAATTAATTTGAATAATTAATGTCTGGTGAAGGGTACATATTTTGTGAAAACATATTAATAAATACAATAAAAATGTAAATTTCAGATACAGTAGTGGGGACTTGTACGACGGTTATTTTAAAGATGCTATGAGACACGGACATGGGGTGTTTAGGAAGGGCAAATATTTAAACAGTGCCTCGTTTGTGTATGTGGGAGAGTGGCTGTTTGATAAAAAACATGGTTATGGTGTCATGGATGATATACTGAAAGGTAATTATTTGTTACTCTAGATGTTGCTATTTTATATGCTTGATGACCATCATTGTTTGTTTACCAGCAATTGTAGAGAGCATATGGTGACTTTCCAGCTGTACTGGTGGAGGAATACCACAGATGCCCCTTGATGTATGATTGGAACTAACAGCTTTCTGCAAGCTTGCTGGATAGCTTCCTGTCATGAAAGAGTCAAATGTTTCCTACTGGATTTGAAGTCACAGCTATTATGAGCTAGTGATTTTAAGTCAGGGACCTTGACCACTTGATTCTGGAGGCCCCTTGATGACTTTCATAACTGTTTTGAAAAGCTACATGTATATATTGTATTTGCTTTACTATAAACATTTGTATGGAGTGAGCATCCGAAATAAATATGCACAAGCATCAATATAATAAATGTATTAATTGTTATTACAGGAGAGAAGTATATGGGTATGTGGCAGGAAGACAGTCGTCATGGAGATGGCGTGGTTGTTACACTAGATGGCATGTACTTTGAGGGAAACTTTCAACATGATAAATTAACTGTAAGCATACTTTGTTTCATATAGACAAAATAGTGCCAAAATGTTTTTATTTAATTTGTATAATAATGTAAAGTTTGACGTTTGTTTCTGCGTTTGTCTGGAAGAAACGTTGTTTTTTTTTATATTACATCTCAACTTCAGTTCGAACACATCTATGGATGTTTCAATATTCCAAATTTTACTATTTCATGTTGAATGTTTAATACTGCTTAAGTCGTTGCTAGGAGGTGTGAACAGTAACTAGCACTTTCCATTACCATTCATGAACAGACTCAATCAAAGCGAGCCTGCAATATTTTCAATTTTGTAGTTTTGTGCGTTTTTTTAGGGATTTTATTTCTGTCTATTTCATTCCTTATCATTAAGAAATTGCAAAATGACTTATTTGTGTGAAAGGTTATTGGAAGTAGCCCATTTAAACTAAAAAACATTTTATATATGAATATGTTTCAAGGACATTTTTTTGGACAAATATGTCTTGTTGTTTTGTTTGTACAGTAACTTGTATATATTTTCATTGGTTGTTTGTTAAAATGACAGGAATTTACTGATATATAAACATGTTAATATATGTGTATATAACAGGGTAATGGACTGATGTTAACAGATGATAACATGTTGATATATATATAACAGGGTAATGGACTGATGTTAACAGATGATAACATGTTGATATGTATATAACAGGGTAATGGACTGATGTTAACAGATGATAACATGTTGATATATATATGACAGGGTAATGGACTGATGTTAACAGATGATAACATGTTGATATATATATGACAGGGTAATGGACTGATGTTAACAGATGATAACATGTTGATATATATATGACAGGGTAATGGACTGATGTTAACAGATGATAACATGTTAATGTGTATATAACAGGGTAATGGACTGATGTTAACAGATGATAACATGTTAATATATATGTATATGACAGGGTAATGGACTGATGTTAACAGATGATAACAGTTGTTATGAAGGAGAGTTTGCAGGCATTACCATGCTACAGGGAAAGGTTAGTTATAAATCATAAATCAGCAGTAAACATATTATGTACATATTTGTTTAAAGACAACTTAGTCTAGTATCAACTTTGTTAGACTGCAAAATTAAATCTTCACTCAGAAAGTTATCGTAAGTTATAAATTGATTGTAGAGGAAAGGTTTATATTTTGTTAGTTTGGATGACAAAATTTAGTAAATGATATGACTTGTTATCAAAAGCATTTTGATATGCAGATACGTTTTTAACAGAATATGACATGCATTGTGAAAATTATACAGTAAAATAGATATTTTGCGTGATAATTTTTTCCTTATCTAAAGTAAAAGAGGGAAACTGAAAAACAAATTGCGACCATCATCTGTATTTTAAAATAACACTTTGTGATACACATGTGTTAAAATCTGATCTTCCATATTAAATACTATTATTTAATGATTTCAACTATGTGTGCTTGAACTTTAGTTTGAGACTCTCCCTTACTTAGAAGAAAACAATATGAAAATTAAGTTTATAAAGTTGCTAATTTATCTTGCAAAATTTGCAAGATACAGAAAAAAACCTTATATGGTAAGTCTTTTTATCTTAAAGGCTGAATGTATGACAAGTACTTGTTAAATATACATTGTGTTTTATGGAGAACTTTTGTTATTTATAAGATCTATATATTTCCAGGGATGTCTAACATTTCCCAGTGGAGATAAAATAGAGGGTACTTTTAGTGGAACGTGGAATCAAGGTCTTAAAATATCTGGAACATTCCATAAAACACCTCTTACAGCATCAATGTCAATGAAACATTCCTGGCATAGAGTTACTCTAGAGTCTGTTTCCAGGTAGGTATTAGGCTAAATAAGATTTTCTGACATGACTTGAAATATTTTATCAAGATTTGTGTACCATTTGATGGATGTATGCACCAAAACCTTGGGTACAAAATTTCAAAACTTTTGCTCCCTCTCTTTTTAGCTCACCTGTCACATAGTGACAGGGTGAGCTTTTGTGATCGCTTTTCGTCAGGCGTCCGTCCGTCGTCCGTCCGTCGTCCGTCGTCTGTAAACTTTTACTTTAAATGACATCTCCTCATAAACCACTAAGCCAATTTCATCCAAACTTCACAGGAATGTTCCTTTGGTTATCACCTTTGAAAATTGTTCAAAGAATTTAATTCCATGCAGAACTCTGGTTGCCATGGCAACCAAAAGAAAAAACTTTAAATATCTTTTTCTAAAAAACCCAAAGAGCTAGAGCTTAGATATTTTGCATGAAACATCTTCTAGTGAGTGTCTACCAAGTTTGTTCAAATAAAAGCCCTGGGGTCAAAATTGGCCCCGCCCCAGGGGGTCATTGATTTTCCCTATATGCATATAGTAAAAACTTAAAAAACTTCTTTTAAAGAACCCAAAGAGCTAGAGCTAAGATATTTAGCATGAAACATGTTCTAATGGATGTCTACTTAGTTTGTTCAAATAAAAGCCCTGGGGTCAAAATTGGCCCCACCCCGGGGGTCATTGATTTTCCTTTTATGTGTATAGCAAAAAGTTAAAAAATCTTTTTTGAAAAAAACAAAAACAAATAGCTAAGGTTTAGATACTAAGCATGAAACATCTTCTAGTGAATGTATACCAAGTTTGTTCAAATAAAAGCCCTGGGGTCAAAATTGGCCCGCCCCGGGGGTCATTCATTTTCCTTATATGTGTATAACAAAAACTTAAAAAAATCTTCTTAACACTTAAATAGCTAGAGTTTAGATATTAAGCAAGAAGCATTTTCTAGTGAGTGTCTACAACGTTTGTTCAAATAAAAGCCCTGGGGTCAAAATTGGCCCCGCCCCGGGGGACATTGATTTTCCTTATATGTGTATAGCAAAAACTTAAAAATCTTCTTTGAAAAAACCCGAATAGCTAGAGTTTAGATATTAAGCATGAAACATTTGCTAGTAAGTGTCTACAATGATTGTTCAAATAAAAGCCCTGGGGTCAAAACTGGCCCTGCCCCAGGTGTGTCATTGTTTTAAACTATATGTGTAAAGAAAAAACTTAAAAAAATCTTCTTTAAAAAAACCCAACGAGCTAAACCTTAGATGTTTAGCATGAAACATTTTCTAATGGGTGTCTACCAAGTTTGTTCAAATAAAAGCCCTGGAGTTTAAACTGGCCCCGCTCCGGGGGCCTATATACAGGTGAGCGACTTCAGGGCCTTGTTCCAATATAGTAATTTGAATTGTGTAAAATGACCAAAAATGAAAAGTTTTTAACATGTTAACTTAAACTTAAAGATGAAACAAAAAGTTGATTTGCAGTTTTCAATAAAATTCTAAGTGTATTTATCTATTTTCCATTTTAAGTTCACCAGTTGATCTATGTCAGAAATTCAAATTTCATATTTTTAAGCTTCTTTGGCATGAGAATAATAAGTGAATTTTTAACTCTAAACCAAATTTCCTTTGATATGTTAAAGTAGCAAACCAAGGTCATGCTTCAACTCTCAACATTATATTAGATCATTTAACATAATGATGTACCCTCTACTGCTTTTTGCTACTTTATTATGGGTAAACTTATTTTGAATTTTTTTAAATCAGTTGAATTTAGGTTTTAAATCTTTTGAACTTAGTGCTAAAATTAAATTTAAATCGCAGCTTGTATGGAAAGTTATGTGTGAAACCAGACAGGAAATGGGAGGAGATTTTCTACCAGTGTTACACTAGTCTACATTATAGTGGAGAAGGGGAACCAAATACACATAAAGCTTGGGACCAGGTTGTCACATGCATTGTTAATGGGAAACAACGATTGAAAGAAAGAGATAAAAGGTATCCAAAATATAAGGTCAATATTAGGAAGATTTAGTCAGATGGTTAGAGGTAAACTTTTTGCGGGCTTAAAAAATCAAGATGTTTGAAGAAATATCTGAAAATGTAATATGAATTTTAAAAAATATTTGTTTTGGTTTGGTTTTGTGTCACCAACATGGTATAGGTCATATGGCAACTTTCCAGCTTTACTGGTAGAGGAAGACTGAGGTGTTCTTCCATGCATTATTTCAGTTGTGAGTGGGCACCTGATTAGAACCACCAATTCTATGTAAGCTGGTTAGATTTTCCTCACATGAAATAATACAAAGTCCCTGTCAGGATTTGAACCCTTAGCAGTGACCTGAGAATGGTTTGAAGTCAACGATAGATGCTCCAAGTAATATGAAATAGTCCTGGAAAGGGAAAAGTTCATGTTAATTGGTATTCTTAAAAAGCAACAAAGCATACTTGGGAATGTTTTTACTGTATTTTACTAGTTGATGTTATCATTTTTTAAATTTTCATTCTGTTACAAAAAAGGATCTTAATGTGATATTTTACAGTATTATGTCATCCAGACAGAAATTGGAATTGAAGAATTTAGAACAGCTTGAGAAGGTCCCAGCACACAATGTACCCATTCTTACAATAGAACATTACAAACAAACTGTACAATACTTAGTCAAGGTAATTTTTTTTGTTCCAAGGTGGATTTTCAGGCTCAATAGTATTGTCAATTATAGGTAAGGTTACTTGTAAAGGTTAATAGTTAAATTTTTTATTACATTATTTCTTTTGTGTTACTTTTATGTTTTATTTATTTTTAAGATATTGAGCCAATCGGATTAGTTTTTTAAAAATTATTGATAGTCAATGTACAGGTGTACAGTTAAGCATAAAGATGTCATACTTTCTATAAGTAATAATTTATTCACTTTATCGTTCTTGATACATTAATTTGTAAACAAAATACTGACATAATTTTTTCATTGTGGTAGAGTTTTGAGACTATAGCTCATCCACTAGGAAAGCTGATGGAAGAGTTGGTTGACGTATTTAGGGCGGCATACATCGGGATAGGAGCTCATCCACGACTACTTTTCCATGCTATACAGGAATTACAGTCATATACAAAGAAAATCTATAGAGTTGTTAGGTATGAAGACATTTTGTTTTAGCGTCATGATTATTTATAATAAAAAGATTATTTGAACCTTTTAGGAGTGGTGTCATGAAACTATTCTTTAGGTTGGGTTATAGAACTAATCTATACTTGTGACAGGCATGTTGAAATAAAGATATGACCCTAGTTAATCTCAAACTCTCTATAATCTCTAAGCTAAGATAAAGATATTACAATGTATCTCCTGTTGGGATTTCCCTCCTTGTTTTAAAAATGTGGTTGAATTAAGTATGTATCAACTGGTAAACATACATTTTATATACAAGTTTTATGCAGTTAATCATGACTTATTTATATACAAGAGTTACCTAGTAAATGATTAATTATTATCATTATGTACATAGTCTATTGGATGGACATCTGAAGTTCTATTCAACTGTAATCCTTTATTATGTTCTGTAAGTATAATGTACGAGGGTTGTCCCAAAATGTCGTAGACTACATTATTTTCTCTTCAACCTGACGTCATAACTTAATAAAATTTACCAGATATCTTCCTTGGTCATTTGTTAATTTACCTTCTTAAAGTAAATAGCCAATATATAAGGTAACGCTTTTTATCAGGGTTTTATATTAAACAGTACAACATACCCGGAGCACGATAAAATATTAGTTAGTGTTGCGAGCATGCTTCTTAAAAACATGCCTTTAACTTCCAGCATAATAATAATTATGGGAAATACATTCCTGTGGAACGACGTCATTCATTTTTACGTCATATCACCAACAGACGTTTATGTAACGCTACTTTGAAAAAATCTGTAGCATAATATGTAACAGCAATGCTATTTTGAAAATTCCCAAAATGGTGACGTCAGATGAAAATGCGGCGCAGCGCGATGTCATTGAATACTGTGTTCAGTTCAAGAAGCGTCCAGCATTAACTGACAACATGAAGAACATTATATTTTATCAAGATAATGCACTTTGCCATAGATCTCAGGAGCCACAGCTTGAAAATGATGTGATATGTTTTTAGAGACTTCCATACGCCCTTAGACTTTGCAGTGTTTTCTTATGTGAAATCACAATTACGAGGTCACCCTGAGGTTCGAAAATTTCAGGGTACTAAGCAAGGAAACTCGACGAGTGTTGAGAACATTAAAGTAGGACTATTTTGAAAATGGTTATGATAAATGGGTCGCCCGACACCTACGGTGGATCGAGAAACACGGAGAACACTTTGAAAACATTTTTTTAAATCTTGTAACGTCATGACGTTTATGACGGCGTGCGCCGGGTATGTATAGGTAGCATTCTTTAAATTTTAATAACTTGGTCATTTTTTGAGGTATTTTGATTTTATTTCGCATAGACACACATAAAAGGTGTATTGACTTTTCCATAGCTTGACGACTCTATTGTTTTATAATTGATTGAGTAACAGACTTTGTCTACGATATTTTGGGACAACCCTCGTACATGAGACAAGTGCTGTGATGAATAACATATAGATAAATGTTTTAAATGTGGAAAGGCAGCCATCACTAACTAGTCTATTATTGGTTTTAAATACAAACTGACAAAATATTTATCATGTTGCTAAAAGACATTAGGCTTTTAAAATATTGAAATTATACCTTAAAGCTAAGAAACGTAAATGAAAGCACAAACTGTCAATAGCACTGCATTCTCACAGTTGTTTTGCTGGAAGAAACCATATTTATGATTACAGATATTGACTCTTATAAAGTATATTTCTAGTTATACTGGAATGCCATTTCATTTACCTAGATATGTTTGTGTTACAGAATATTGTTTCCAGAGTTACCAGAGAAGGGAGATCCTACCCATATATACCTAGAGAAACAGAGGCGAGCTAGTACCCCTATCAGAGAGAATATGGGCTTTATACAGAGACAAATATCAGAGGTGGATGAGGAAACAACCAAGTGAGTCAAACGATCACTTCATTCGCAAAAAGATGTGATGTTTTACTTTAAGTACAAATTTGAGTCACCTTGATGTGGCATAAGAGAAGATTGTCCCTATTTCTACAGCCGTTTGTGTGTCCATCTGTTTGTCTATCTACCACACTCGTTAAGATTCATAGGTCAAGTGAAGTCAAATTATTTATTTCACTTATTCCATATATAAACTTGACACAACTTGTTGACAAACATGAATAAAAGTGCTTTGAGGCTCAAATAGCAGTTAAGTTATACAAGAAAATGTTATACATGTACTATAAATGTAACTGAAAAGTACATGTATTAAAGTATTTAACATTAAACATGATGTTTGTATATTTTTAAGTATCAAGTATGCTCTGAGAATTGAAAATGTTTTTATCAAAAGTGGTTATTATTATGAATATGTGAAATTATTTTTGTATAGTAAAAAGGTTGTCAAAATCTGTAAAAACAGAATAATCTCATTGAATTTATTTATTTCAGGGAAGTGGTTTCAGCTTCAGGATTGTTACAGCCTATCTTGCTACCAAAGATTTACCCAGCATTATTTGACCTATATGCACTTCACAATGATAAAGAAGATGATAAATACTGGGAGAGGGTGATGAAACTTAATAAACAGGGGGATATGTCATTGATGGCATATCTTGGTATTGACCAGTATGTAATCTTTTATGGTTTTAGTACATAAAAGTTTTGTCTTGGATCTGAAGAAAATCATTATGTTTTCTATATATAGTTTTCTTTGTTGATCATTAGAGCTGTAATATCTTGGCACCTTGTAGCTTTACACATGACTGATGTTTATTTACTGATTACATTTTGCTAACGGTTAGCTCAAAGTAAAAGTTCAAAACATTTTAAATATGACAAACTCTTAACAATACATTTATATTGTCAGATTTTAATTTTTAATAAGATCTTTTAAATATATCTTTACTTTAAAATAAAAGTTGCATAATAATTATTATGGAATTATTTGGATTTATTTTTGATTCAACTTCATGATTACTGTACTTTACAAAGCAATTTTCTTTTGTACATGTATAATAATATGCAGTTTGCCTACACATAATATTATATGTTTAAAATATACATTTCTAACGAAGATTTACATTTTAACAAAAAGTGTATTAAGCTATAAATCTGATTTATGTAGTTTACAAAAATATTGTTTAGATATAAAGTGTAAGCAGAGACATAGATGTTATCTATGTCTCTGGTGTAAGTCTGTATTCCATAATGATTTTCTTTTACAGAAGTTTCTGGTGTCTAGATGGATCCATGTTTAAAGACAAGAAAGTGGTAAGCTCTCCCTTTTGGTGTCAATATTTATGAAACTTTCTTAAAAGGTTAATTTGAAGTGAATATATATATATAATACATGTAAATATTGGTTTAAACATATTTATTAAGCAACTTATATTAATCACTTTCGAGTCAGCTTCCTGGAACCAACCAGTACTGGTGTCATATGAAGAAACATTGTCGTGACCCAAGTAGGGCTCGAACCCATGATCTCTGGGTTGAGCGGAAGACACCATAACCACTAGGCCACAGCTCCAGCTCCCCATGTAAATATTATTAACTGCTGTATGAAATTAGAGATATTCATCTCCTAATTAGTATAAAAGCATCCATACATTTGTGTACTTTTATGGGCTTCACAATCATGGGCTTCACAAGAACAGACATTTGGAGATACACAGGTGGAGATGTTGGGGCTTATTTGTTGAAAACAATTTTTACATGACATTTTCAATATTTGTAGCCTTACAACTGAATTTTGTAAGGTTATGAATACATTTTTAGCTCGACTTTTCTATGAAAAGGGGAGCTATCCTACTCGCCCCGGCGTCGGCGTTGGCGTCACACCTTGGTTAAGTTTTTCGTACCACCCCACTTTATTTCAGAAGTATTACAAGTATGGCTTTGAAACTTACCATACTTGTTCACCATCATAACCTCCATCTACAGACAAGAGTACATAACTCTGTCAAGGTTTTTGACAGAATTATGGCCCTTTTTTGACTTAGAAAGTGTATTGAGCTTGGTTAAGTTTTTTGTACCACCTCACTTTATTTCAAAACCATTGGAGGTATTGCTTTGAAACTGACAATACTTGTTTACCATCACGACCTTCATCAACAGACAAGAGGACATAACTCTGTCAAGGTTTTTGACAGAATTATGCCCCTTTTTGACTTAGAAAATACATTGAATATGGGTAAAATCCACTTATTGCCTTAACCCTTTGAGATATTGCTTTGAAACTTTTAATGCTATTTCACATCATTACCCCCATCTGTACGCAAGAGAAGGTAACTCTGTCAAGGATTTGTTTTAAAAATTAAGGCCTTTTATCGACTTAGAATCTTGGTTAAGTTTTTAGTACCAGTCCACTTTTTGACTGAACTGTTTGAGATATTAATTTGAAAGTTGGAATACTTGTTTACAATCATGATTCCCAAACATGTCCAGGAGAAGGTAATTCTGTCAAAGATTTCTGTCACACAATTCAGTAAAATAATTCTTCACTAAATATCTTAATGCTCATGGCCATTGTTCACTTTAAAAATACAGAGATTCTTGTATTGCCTTTTACTGCAAAAACTTTTTTTATTGGCAAGCAATAAAAAAGTCGAGCGCGCTGTCTTACGGACAGCTCTTGTTTTGTGTAATTGTAAACATGCTTCAATTTGCCTATTTTTCAGAGAATATCATCCATTAGGGACCATAGTTACGCAAAAGCAGTAGATGTTTTACAACAAATAAGGTACTTATTTTGAATATCAAAATTCGTAAGCGTCCAATTCATATTACGCACTTTCCTTAGGTGAGTCAAATGATGTGTTAACGCTTTGTACTTTCACCCTATTCTCAGTGACTCAAATATGTCTGAATGCTTTGTGCATGTAACTTCTTTTGATGACATGATGTACAATTTAAGAGTCTAGCCACATGTCACATAAATTAAGTGTTAACCAAGTAGAAGTTCATTTAAACCCTTTACTGCAATTTACTTGTATGTTCAATATTATACATATTTGCCAATGAGACTGTTTTGGGAATTCAGGTTTAATTTTTTTTTCATGTATATACAAATAGTTTGACAATGTGTGCACATAAATTCATGAAACTGTGAAGATAACATGTTATAAGCAAAAGAAATGATTGCACAATATATCATGTAAGACTATAACTATGACCTTTGTTATATCTTTATTTTATTTTAGCACAGCATTTTGTCCTATAGACAAGCTGGAGGTGATACAACAAGCATTTCAGGCAATTTCTCAGGTAAATGAACATTGCTATGCTTGTTGCTCTTTACACAAATTATGCAGCTGTCTGCTACACAAATTGTGAGAAATATGACAATGAAATCTACATATGACATTTAAATTGTAAACGAATAAATTTTGAGGCAAAAATATGCACAAAAATTATACTGATGCTCTAAGTACATCTCAAAAATTTGTCAAAATGTAATCTTGTTATCATTTAGCTTGACTGTACATGTATGTTTTTGTTTGAAGTCTTTCTGCAAAATACAAGGAACATAAAACATAACATTTTACATTGTGTAAAAGTGTTGTTAATTTGCATTTCCTTTACAACTTACACATTTCTATAAGTTAGATATATATGATTATAATAAGGAGATATTATTTATTCATGAATTATAGACAGTACAGGAGTATAATGGTGAGGAACAGATATGGTGTATGGATGACCTGTTCCCAATATTCCAGTTTGTTGTAATTAGGGCTCGCATTCATCACCTTGGTGCAGAGATACATTTTATAGAGGAGTTAATGGAAAGTCACCTTGAGTTTGGTGAGCTAGGGCTCATGTTTACTACATTAAAGGTTTGTGTTGTAAAGAAATACATTATGTATTTTGTTACACTTAAATGCTTACCTTCCTTCATAACTATAAATACAACCTCTGACAACTGCATCAGGGAATTGTTTCGTTGGCTCAGCAGTCTAGAGCATAAAATGTTACTTTGGCTTGTAAGCAGGAGTTCAAATCCCAGCTATGGCAGGATCTCTTTCGATCCAATTGCATCACTTACAAACAAGTATTTCTAAGACAGGGGGCTTGTAAGGGATGCCTGGCTGCTGGACTTTGTTTGGAACCAAAATGGTTTCTGTTTCATAACCAAAATTGTTTCTGACTTGAAAATAAGTTATTCTGTCTTTATAAATAATGACTTTCTGAAGAGGGGTGTATTACAGTTGAATGCACACTTACCTGCATAATTAAAAGTACAACCTCTGAAAACTACGTTGGGGAATTGTTTCTTTGTCTCAGTTGTCTAGAGCCTTGTCCCTTAGTTTGTAGGTCACAAGTTTGAATCCTAGCCATGGCAGAATCTATTCTGATGCATTTGCATCTTTCTATTAGGAACTTTTATGTCTGTTAGATAATTTTATAACTTTTGATATGTCTTTACATAATTAATAGAATTTTGTTTTCTCCTGTCTCTTCTTGGGTGTGTTTTTTATATTTGTTTGAAGTTGTTCCTTAAATACATGTATGCTTTTTATTTAATCTACTTGAAAAACACTCTAAACTTGTCAATAAATGTATATGTTGTCATTTGCTATATGTGTGAAGTACAGTAAACTCTGCTTATACATGTAATGATATTGAGGGGAATATCATTTTATCCGGATTTCGTTATATCAGATAGGCAACAAATTTGAAAACAAGGGTCAGGACTGCAGCAACAGCATAATTATAAGCTGCATTTCATAATTAGCAATATCATAAGTGGGGTTTACTCTACATAAATTTGTTTACAGGATTGAAAATATGTTAAAAAACGTACTTATCTTAACTTTGGTGTCATGAACTGTTTATATATATTTCAGGCATGTTACTATCAGATACAGAATGAGAAGATGCCCATACATTGAGATTATCATAGATTATAAATTACCATACAATACTGACACCAAAATTTAATAAACCTTACCACGCTTTGTCACCAGTATAGAACCAGTCCAGCCTGCAGATCAGTACAAGGTGTTACCTAGCTATAAACTGTTTCTTGACCATTTTCAAATTTTCATCTTGGTATCTCAAAATTTAATAAAAGACAGTGATAAAAATCACAGTTGGAATAGTAAATTTAAGAAAGCCAGCAGATAAGGGTTACTGGCTGATTTAAAGTTTACAGACAGGAACAGTTTTATACTGAAAATTGATGTATCAAAGAAAAGGATGAAATCAGCTGAATTGATTTATTAGACAACATAGTGTATGAGCTTTTGAATGTAAAATTATGAAAGGAAGATATTCTTGATGCAGAAATGAACAGTGTTGTCAGAAATGATTGTGATGTATGTACATGTATAATTACAATATGTTGTGGCTGGGTATGGTCAGCCTTAAATTGTTTAGTCTATTTTGATTAACCTATTCTTACCACAACTTTCCATTGAATACTTGCCAAAGTCTTGTTCCTCTTTAATTTATTTATAAAGTGTGAATAAAACCATTCCATACAAATATTTGTATAAGCTTTGAGCTAGAGAATTATTTTCATACTTTTATATTTGTTTGACAGTAATGTTTGTAGAAAAATCGCTGTATTTAATTAGTGCTGAGGGTATAAAAATACCTCAAATAGAGGTTATGACAATAATCTGTGAGACAGAGAAAATAAAGCTTTCATACTGTCAAAATGGGTAGGGTGTATAAGTTTATAGATAATAAATGTTACTGATGATTTTATAACCGATTACATGACCTAACAGAATAGAACCAGTGCTGATTTACTGTAATCAATCTGTAATCTTGTTTGACAAGGTTGATGTTATACAGGTCATATACTATGCTGCCACTGACATTTTTGTTTATTACCCCTCACTTTTTTCGTAATGTTAATTTCCCATAGGCCTCTGGGAGTTATTCTTACTGTTAATGCAAGTGTACCACGTGACTAAGAATAATAACATCTGTCATATGTTGCAGTTCGGATCGGAATATCCGTCCCGAGGGGGACCCGCCCATTGGGCAGTAACGAGGCTTGCGGGTAACAGTATTTTCCTCGGGATGATATTTTTACTGTTACCCACAAACCCATGTGTTATTTATATACTGTTATATATAAACAGCATTTGTTGTTTTATACTGTTTGAAAACAGGTTTTATAAATTACCAGGTCAAATTAAAACGCATTTTCTGTAATTGAAATATATGTATACTGATTACTAGAGAATACTCTACAACATGTTGATTGATTTATTTATTATGTTTGTTATCAAGAGTGAACTATGTTCTGGTAATATATTTAGATTGTATATCTAACATTTTATATGTATATTTATGCTTAATGTAACCTGCCTAATTATTATTAAGGTTAGTGAATTATACATGTATCTTACGTAATGTTTGTTGAAATTTATATTTTGGTTGAAAACCATTATTTTAAACTGCTGAAATGTAAGGTTTAGTTTGGGATTGTTTTTTGTGTGACAATGAGATATTAAGCTACATTGTATATGATCATAGATGAAGAAAGTTTTTTTTATTAATTATGCGTCAGTTAATTTATCTCCATTCTCTGGTAGATTAAAATTTACCAGTCCTGTAATATGAGATTTATTGATTTACTCAAAACTTAAAGTACCTGTTACTTAAATAATAAAAATCTCAACTTAACAAAAAATAAAACCAAATAAAGGTTAAATGTGGGTGATAAATTTACCATGTTTTTGCTTTTGTATGTGCTTTTACTTATAAAGGTAAAAACATAGGAAATATATGTATATCGTCAGGTGCCCTTAATTCACCCCTGTCCTAGAATCAACTCTGTTACTGTGTATGTCACAAAGTCAAATAAGTTCATGAGAAAGAAAACTGTTGGATATTTTTAACATCAAAGTAAATTTAATGTATCTGCCAAATTTCTTCAACACAGAAGCTTAGAGCATCAGAAAATATCGTGTATCAAACTAGCTCTGTAAAAGCATAGGGTAATGAATTATAGCCACTCATGGATAAATGCCGGAAATATAACTTTATGAGGCATTATATTGTTATGAATAGTATGAATGGAAAAGTTAATACATTCATTGTACACTTTTGTCATAGTTGATTCTTAAATTTTGTTTGCAGAACGCAAGACAATGTTAAAGTTACTTTGCCAAAAATAGTGTAAAGTTTACACTTTTCAGACTTTCCTTTGTATTGTTAAAACCAGCTTTTCTCAGTAGAGTGTTTTGAGATTTTTGTCACAATATTATTTTAGTCAGTTATATCGTAAAGATATGTGTATTTATTTTTAATATTTACAGGGTGCATTATATAATTTATTGTTACTTTATTAGAAATTATAAATAATAAACAGTTTAATTCTTTAAGCAGGTATACACATCACTTTTTAAGAATATTGTGTTATCGTTATTCTTTGTTAAACATTTTATTGTTAATTGTTATGTTATTGACTTTTATTATCAGCATTGCCATTTCAAGAATACAAGTTGAGTTTTTAACTATTGAAAGTTTAACAGATAACACAGTTTATGTCCCATTATATCTTAGAAAACTCATTCCTTATGCAACATACAGGTTGAAATGATCCAGATTGTAAAATTCCTCATTTGAAACAGTTAAAAGTATCTTGCATGTATCAAAACTTAAGAGACTAATGTTATAATTCAGGTGTTACTAGAATTTTGATTTGTGTTTAGATCCAGGTGTAACTAGGAATATTATTAGTGTTACAGTTCATGTGTATCTAGAGGTGTGACTTATGTAACAGTCTTGATGTATTGATGTAACTAAGATTATGATATAGATTATGTGTTATAGATCGCTGTAACTAGGCATATAATAAGGGTTGTTAATCAGGTGTAACTGAGAAGGAGAGCTATCAACACACTTAAAACATAACAAAATTGAAACAAAATACAGAAACAAATATTGTAATTTTTATAATGGTACATGTACCTCAAAGTCAAGTCTAAATGCATATTATAATAATTATTATTATTATTGTTATTGTTATTATTACTATATAATTGTACTATTACTGAATTATTTCCAATATTCTGTCAATAGTGTAACTGCCACTTGTTTAATGCGGTAATGAAAATATTAACCTTAGGACGTTTCAGGAGTTTTTCATATAGACATATAGGCAAAATTAAAACTGTTCTATAGAATTTCTTTAAACTTGGCATGTTGTTAGAATATGATAACAGAAACATTTTAAGCGAAAAAAATTTTTTGGGTCACCGTTCTCGTTATCTGCCCCTGAACCGGAATTTTCTACTTATTTGAGGTCATTTAAAGGGCAGATAACTTATACATATGTAAATGAATGTTTGTTTTTTACTTCTGGATAATGTTTTTAGCTCACCTGTCACAAAGTGACAGGGTGAGCTTTTGTGATTGCTTTTCGTCCGGCGTCCGTCCGTCCGTAAACTTTTACTTTAAAAGTGACATCTCCTCAAAAAACCACTAAGCCTATTTTATCCAAACTTCACAGGAATGTTCCTTTGGTGGTCACCTTTAAAAATTGTTCAAAGAATTTAATTCCATGCAGAACTCTGGTTGCCATGGCAACCAAAAAAGAAAAAACTTTAAATATCTTCTTTTAAAAAACCCAAAGAGCTAGAGCTTAGATATTTGGCATGAAACATCTTCTAGTGAGTGTCTACCAAGTTTTGTTCAAATAAAAGCCCTGGGGTCAAAATTGGCCCCGCCCCAGGGGGTCATTGATTTTCCCTATATGCATATAGTAAAAACTTAAAAAAATCTCTCTTAAAGAACCCAAACAGCTAGAGCTAAGAATATTTAGCATGAAACATCTTCTAATGAGTGTCTACCAAGTTTGTTCAAATAAAAGCCCCTGGGGTCAAAATTGGCCCCGCCCCAGGGGTCATTGATTTTCCCTATATGCATATAGTAAAAACTTAAAAAAATCTTCTTTTAAAGAACTCTAAGAGCTAGAGCTAAGATATTTAGCATGAAACATGTTCTTATGGGTGTCTACCAAGTTTGTTCAAATAAAAGCCTTGGGGTAAAATTGGCCCCGCCCCAGGGGGTCATTGATTTTTCTTATATGTGTATAGCAAAAACTTAAAAAATCTTTTAAAAAAAAAACCCCAAATAGCTAGAGTTTTAGATATTAAGCATGAAACATCTTCTAGTAAGTGTCTAAAGTTTGTTCAGATAAAAGCCCTGGGGTCAAAATTGGCCCCGCCCGGGGGTCATTGATTTTTTCTTAATATGTGTATAGCAAAACTTAAAAATCTTCTTTGAAGAAACCCAATGAGCCTAGAGCTCGATGTTTAGCATGAAACATCTTCTTATGGGTGTCTACCAATTTGTTCAAATAAAAGCCCTTTGGTTAAAATTGCGCCCTGCCGGGGGGGGGGGTGGAGTATATCATTGTTTTTCATTATATGTGTGTAGTAAAAACTTAACATCATGAAACATCTTCTAATGGGTGCCTTCCAAGTTTGTTCAAATAAAAGCCCTGGGGTTTTTAAATTGGCCCCGCTCCGGGGGGGGGGGGGGGCCATATATACAGGTGAGCGACCTCAGGGCCATCATGGCCCTCTTGTTCATACAATACATTATTACATGCAATTCCTTATATCGTTTCTGTTAATTTTTCAATGGAAATAAGGTACTTTAAATTCTTAAAAATTGGCCAATGTTATAGAAAAAATGCACAGGGTAAGAGAAGAAGTGGAGAAAAAAAAAAAAACTATCCACTTTAAATTTTTCTTGAAATTTTGCATATTGACTAAGACGAAGGTAAGCTTCATGAAAATAAGAAGAAAAAAATGTATTGTTTCGCTTCATTGTAAATTATCTGCCCTTAATTTAACGAAAAGGTCCAATTCAAGGGCAGATAACTCGAAAATGAGAACCGTGACGCCAATTTTTTTTTTTTTTCCCCGTTTAAAATGTTTGCTGTTATCTACATGGTAATAACAATTGGTTGCGCAAGCCAAGGTTTAAAAGAAATTCTATTGAGACAGTTTTAATTTGCCTATAATGTCTATATGAAAACTGAAAAACGGGTCGTTTAATGGTGCAACCTCGGAATTAATACTATGCCTGTATTACAAAAAAATCTGAATGTTTTTTTAACCTCCTATGTATGTCACCATGTTTTATCTATTAAATTACATTGTTTCTAACTAACAATCGCAGATAAAACAACAATAATTATTTGAAAAAACTCTAATACAAAAATACAGGCGTAATTGTAATTTTATAAATAAAATGAGTGTAAAACATAACACTAGGACAACATTTTGTTGAGGTCAATGACTTAATCATCTTACCAAGTGAGAAACAATTCAAAAGTGGTTTCCAAAAGGAAAACCATATTCCTTCAGGGCACAAGTTCTTTGTGGTCATTAAAATGAAAACAACTGCATAATTAATAGAGACATCATTCGAAGCTTAAGCGATCAATAAAATGTATTAGCTTAGCTGTTTTTTTGGTGACATTGCCAGTATTTATTTCTGTAAATAGACGTTGGATAATTAAAAGAAGCTAAGCTATTAAAAATATTGCCACATATATGCATGTACATGCATTTAACATTGTATTTTAGTATACATTTAATTAAATAAACTATCTTTTTAAGTCTTTGCCAGTATTTATTGAATATACACACATTTGCGCAAACTTTATAAAAATTTGGATATGAACTTTAATATGATCATGTTCGATGTACATGGAAAAAGGAAATTATGTACAAAAAAATAAGTGAAACATATCTTGTTGGTATTGACGTGTTTTAATAAATCTTATTTATGTTGCATTTTACGAGATTGGTTATCGTCGGATACCCATGGTTGATTAACAAGTAATCAAAAAATGGTTCGGTCATGGGTTTCCGACGATGGAGATTACTATACATTTTTAGTACATGTACAAGATTTAATTCTGTTGGACAAGTACACAGTTGTCAATGCGCTACTCGAGTTTGTCTCGGTTCGAGTCCAACAGAATTCAGTATTGTATTCTTGTATTTTAACAACATCATTATAACTTTAATTACGATAAGGATATTTGATACTCTGGAAATAAAAACGAGGCTAAATTAATTTCTGTTGGAATATCACGTGATTTAAACGCTGAAGGTTAGTTTAGTTATAAGGTGTGAAATAAAAAAGCCATATATTCATTGTGCAATAAATTACTTTCCATTTTAGATAGCAGTGCATAATTTTTGCATTTTTTTCTGTTTGATTTAATTCTAATATATTGTGAAATAAACAGAGTTTTTTTTTGTATTTGAACTGTTTGTTTTCAGCTTAACAAGTCTATTTTATTTATAGAAAGGGGAAACAATTCTACTCAATTGCGCGTCACAATGACATTATGGGTAAAGATTTTAGTTCCACACTAATGCTTTAGTATTCCCTTTGAAACTTGTATCACTTTCTTTATGACTTACGACCATCACCCCAACTTTCAGACAAGAGGAAAACACCTTGATGTATATTGATCAAATTATGTCCCTTTTTGCCTTAAAATCAATTATCTATTCGTTTATGAGATATTGTGTTGAAACTCGGAATACTTAATTAAAGACCATCAATCACTTCTACACATGAGTAGACAACAATTATGGAATTTTACTAAACTGTCCGTTTTAAAGCCCGTTTACAAAAACGATCGAATTTTTGAAATGCTTTTGTTTTGACCGGAGCGTATCTCAAAGATTGATTTGAACAAATGATCACCATCATTAGACTTTCTATTGCTCTCATGTACGGTCACAGAGGTTAGATGAAAACTATTCCGAAGCCAAACTTTTACATGCGTTGAGTATTTTAATGTACATGTAACTTGGCACAGAATTACACCATTGCGAGGCGGAACGTCGTGCACAGTTTAACATGTCAGCTATGTAGACGGATATTCTGAGAGTATGTAGGGATTAACGTATATAACATATAAAATTTACAGTTGATGTGAAATCTATTTTTGAGATCTTTGCATTATTTGGGAGAAATTTGCCAATATACATTCGAAAGTTGTTTATCAGAAAATACAAAATCTGAAAATACTGTCTTGTGCAGTCGACTCCTCTAATTTAATTAGGTACAGAAAAGTCTAGAAATCTCCAAGTTACCCACTAATTAAGAAATGGCAATTATGGTTAGAAGTTTATAAATTTATGAAGCGGAAAGGGCCTTGAACGGTCTGTTAAAATTTCTCGAACCATGTAAGTGCTACAACCTTTCCTCCAAAAAAAAAAAAAAAAAATAATAAAAATAAATAAAATGGCCGACTGTTGGGCTGTTCCAAGGTTTATTACTTGCCATAAATTTGTAACTTGAAAACAGTGGCAAAAATAATTACTTAAATAATATAGCAAAAACACGGAACCCTACATATATATCGTACTCTCGGTAAGATTTGGTCGACACTTTCTAGTTATGGGCGTAAGCAGTCCTACAGAATCCATGATCAAATTCAAATAACAATTGAATGTTGGCAAGAACCAATTAAAGTAAAAAGTATAATTTTACCGCGTACACATTTAAACTTTGTTATTACATATTTTTTAAGCAATTGAATTTGTGTACATGCAACTTCCGAATGCATAAAATGATAACTCTCGAAAGAAATGCTAACTAACGAAAATCTTTGAAATTAGTATTTGTTCAAAAGAATTGCAATATTTCAGATGAACTCAACCAATTGAATTTTCTAAATACTTATTAAATGAACGCTACCCTTCTTATAATGAAAGTATTTTGAACACTTGTAATATTTGTATTTATATGTAAGTTTCTAAATGCTCTGAGGGTCCTTGCTCGGGTAAGGTCAAAGTGTCTGATCTGATTGTCAGAGTAAATAAAATAAAATGAATTAATCCATGTTATATAACTCATGTCCAATGCTACAAAGAGTTTGCGACGATTTTCTTCGAAACTGGTTGAAATAATGTGGCGTTTAATAAAGCACTCCATGACATAGTGTTTGTAAAACAAAAGAAAACATCCTAACAATTTAAAAAGATGATTCATGGTTTTACCACTAGTTAACAATCTTTTTTCTATAGCAAATTCTCTATAATCGCACATTTAACAA